TATGCTCTTGAAGATTTTTTTGGACCGGGCGTTAATGAATCAGAGATGCAATCATTTTGCGCCGATGCTGAGGTGGACATAACGCCTTCTCCACCACCTGCCGACCAACCCATCTTGAAAGCCAATTCAGCCAATCCCATTCCTGCAGCCATCCCCAACCGCTTCCCTGCATCCGCTCCCCTCAGAGCGCAAGAGCAGGCACAATCAGATCAAAAGCGCCAGGTGTTCCTGCTCGCCAACGGTTTCACAACATTGGCGACAAATCTGTCGAAAGCATCGACATCTGGTGCCCCCTCCAATACTGGCCGCGTTCCTTTGGTGCATCCAGTCAGTGACGAGCAAAAGGCACGTGCGGATCGAAAGCTCAAGGAATTTCTTGACGCTCAGGGTTTTACAACCCAACCAGAGCAACCGGCTTTGACTTCTCGGACTTCTGCTGATGCGGATTACGCGGATTACAACATCCCCGCTGAGGATGAAAACGACTCGCAATGCCCCTCAGGGTTGGATGATAGCGACGGACCTAATGAAGAAGACCACGAAATCGTTTCCGGTACCGGAAAGGCACGGCAACGTGCTGGTCGCATTCCCAACACTACCTGGAAGAAGCTCAAGAGTGCGTTCCTCAAGTTGAACACAGACCTCGATCAGCTTGCCAGTGACACTGGCCGCACTCGTGAAAATATTATCTCTTTGTGGCAGAACACCCGCTCGCTCAAGCGAGCCTATCTCTCGGCATGGAACATCTATGAGATGTACTTTCGAGAACACCGCCCTCAGGAGCGCAAGAGGGTCGGCAACCCGAAGGCTACATGTGAGTTTGCTGTCCCCTTCTGGTCGCATTAGTATTGATGCCCCCAATAGGTGCGGAATGTTTCAAGAAGTTTAAAGAGACTCAGCCTAACTGGCTTGAGCTCTTGCATATGTACAACGATCTCAACAAGTCGGAGAAGACACTCACCACCATCCAGACGCGCAACCGCCGATTCCAAGCGCACGTCGCCTCGCTCAAGTCACTCGCTCTGACCGCTTCCAATTCTTCTGGTTTTGAAACCTTGATCGTCACCGTCGGGAATTGTTTACATGAGGATGCAAGCCTTTGTAACGTATACGTTAGTCCAGGCGCTGAGGGTGTAAGTGTTATTACAGGTACATATGACGTCCATTAAACTGATTTTTTTGGTTTCTAGTTTCTCGACCGCTTCCGTATTGACGACGATGAGTACTCTGGGCTTTTCCGTAACCACGTCTGGTACGAACCCATAGATGATCTCGGTAACATTTTCACTGACCCCTTGACAGTAACCTCATTGCGCTGCAACTCGAGGACACCGTCGTCAACGCCCTCGAGGAGTTGCCCGATGTTTCACTCTTGCCGAAAAAAGTCAAACCAAGCCAGAAACCCAAGCGCGAGTATAAGGAAGACAATGGCGCCATGCCTATCATCACGGAGCCTCACGATTCCGACTATGAATTTGTTGACGAAGAAGAAAAAGGCAGCAGAGGCAGCAGAGCGGGGAGTGCCATCTGCTCCGTGGCTTTAACCACGTTGAAAACCATCATCAAAAATGGGCTCAATCGTCTTCTCAGTGCGTCTTTTTTTGCATACATATCTTTTCTACGACTGTCGCTAACATGACTACAGATAAAGTAGATGCGGAGAATCTGCCCATGGGAAACCTCATCTGGAAAACGCTCCCAGAGTATCTTATGGAACGAGGCGTCCAGATCACCGGCTGGCCAGAAAACGTGCTTTTCCCCACCCAGAAGCTCAAACCGGACACTGCTCGGAACTCATCGCAGGGAATCAAAGACATCGGAATCAATGGCACTCGCCTCCTTGCTGAAAGACTCAACAATCCTCGGAGTTCCATAGCAGCCGTGAAAGTCGATATAAATGGTATGTGCCCGCACTAATCTACAATGTTTTATATCAACTTACACCGACTTACAGCCTTAGAACAAGGACAGATCCCAATACTTGTCGAAGAGCCCACCACGTCCGGCGCCAGGCGATTTTTCAAAGGCGGCCGTTGCGACACTGCTGGTCCCAAACTGTCGAAGTCTGAGGCCAACAGCACCACTGGTAGCAACTTTTCCGACGCTCCATCAGACAGCGACGATAGGCCGCTTAAGTTGCAGAAGAGTACCGCACAAACATCGAGCAAGGAGAATGAGGCCAGTAGCGTTGTCGATGACGAGGACGAGGACGATGACGACGAACCAATCAAGAGGAAGGGTAAAGGGACGAAGAAGGCAACCAAGAGAAAGACCAGCAGCGATGTCGATGATGGAGATGACAACGATGACAACGAGCCAGTCAAGAAGAAGGGCAAGGGGACGAAGAAGGCAACCAAGGGAAAGACCGTCAAGAAAGGCAGGGCTAAGCGGGAGGAAACGCATGTAGTGCAGGAGCCGGTGGAAGCAAGCAAGAAGGATTTAAAGCCGGAACCCATCGCCAAACCCGTCGCCAGTCAAAAGCCCGCACCTCGTCCCTTCAAGAAGCCTTTAGCTGATCCGGTCGCTGCTGAAGACAATACCCTGGCCGCTGGAGGACGTGGACTCTCGAAAGCTGTATCCCCTGGCCCAATTGACACCGTCACTCGCAATACCAGTGCGCCCACTCTCGACACCGCCACTCGCAAGGCGGCTACCACTGCGCCCACTCTCACCACAGTCCCTGATGGGAGTACTTCAGTGGCAAATGTCGTCGCACCTCGCAGAAACGCACAACGGGGGTTAACACCTCTCCCAGTGCCTTCGCGTGAAACGCCCGCAGATCTTCCAGTACCTTCGCGTGGAATGCCTGCAGAACGCAGAAACGCACAACGGGGGTTAACACCTCTCCCAGTGCCTTCGCGTGAAACGCCCGCAGATCTTCCAGTACCTTCGCGTGGAATGCCTGCAGATCTTCCAGTGCCTTCACGTGGCACGCCCGCAAATGTTCCAGTGCCTTTGCATACACGTGGCCCACTGCCTCCAGACACTACTGGTCGTCTTTACGCTGAAACGCCCGCAGATGTTCCAGTGCCTTCGCGTGGCCCAACGCCGCTGCCAGAGACCAGGCGCTCAGACACTCAACTACCCTCAAATGCCGCCGCCTCTCATCGCACTCAGACACCCACCATAGACCAGCCTCACTCTCCACCAAAGCGCTCAGCTGAAGAAGAGGTGGACAGTGCGCACAAGCGTTTACGCAACAATACAGGTGCTGCAACTGTCCGTCCTACTCGAGAAAACACACCACTCCATCCACCTGAGGAACTCGATGGACCCGGTCACTATCCGCCCTCTGCGTGGGATGGGCCATATGGGTACAATTATGGACCACCTCGGCGCTTCGGTGGCTCGTACTACCATCCAAGCTATGCCCCACCTCCTAACTGGGGTCGGCCTCCTGGATACCCCAATTACCCAGAGCATATGTCGTACGCTGAACACCCACCCCCCCGTCAAGATGCTCACCGTCAAGATGCTGATGATGGGTACGGCCCATACCCCATGAATGCCTACCATCAGGGCGGACCACCGCACTTCTTCCCACCTCAGCACTACCCTACCGATCCTCGTCAAGGCCGCACGCCATCCGAACACTCCTCGAAGCATGGCCATCACAAAGACAACCAAGAAGATGCCTGAGAACCGACCACAGTGCGCCGTTTTTTCACCAGAATACATCTCTTGTCTCGCGCCGTTTTGTTCCCCAAAATACATTTCCTGTCTCGCGCCGTCGACTGTCCGAGTCTCTCTATTCCTACTGTCTATACTTCACAATGCCGTCTCCTTCTTTTCTTGTCCTCCTCGAACCTTTCACCTACAAAATCCCGTTCCCCGTCATATATACAATTCCACCCATTAGACCTCATGTGTAACACGCCGGTTATGGAGCTATCGAAGTAACCGTTTAAAAAAAATATATTCAACCTTCGTTGCAATCTAGGTGATTTCTACAAAAACACTGGAAAATGTCTGACATACAAAAACACCGGAAAACGTCTGACACTCGGTCACTGAGAAAATAGTGTCAAGTACTCAGCGTTAAAATCAAACACTCAGTCACTGACATGATGACACGAAATAGAATCAAACGGTCAGCGTAAAAATCAGGCACTTCTCGAAAACACTAAGAACTCCCTAGTGCCAGGCAAGTGTCTCGACACTAAGTAGCGCTGCGCACTGAAAAGTGTCAGGACACTACGATCTGCTTCCCGATCGCTTTCTCAATTGGGATTTAGCAGGGAGCGCCTTGAGTGATTATGACCTCGAAGGTCTATTACGCCTTGCCAAATAATTGGCCTTTAAGGCTTCACGTGACGTGAAAGTGTCGTGCCAAGGGTGTCTCCCCCCGTCTCACATGTGATGTGCTGGCAATCACCGGCACTCCAACTTAGGGCAATGTGCCATTGCCCTAAGTCGGCTCGAGAACGCGCTACTGCGCGTTCTCGAGCACCTAACCTACCCTAACTACTTAACCACCTAACCACCTAACCTGACTTAGGGCAATGGCACATTGCCCTAAGTCGGCTCGAGAGCGCGCTACCGCGCATTCTCGAGCATGTAACCTACCCTAACTACCTAACCACCTAACTACCTAACCACCTAACTACCTAACCACCTAACCATCTAACCTAACCGAGAACGCGCTACCGCAAAATATCCCCAACCCTAACCACTAACCAAACCACCTAACCTAACCGAGAACGCGCTACCGCGCGGGGAGAAAAATAACCCCATCCCTAACAACTAACCTAACCTCCTAACCTAACGAACGCGCTACCGCGCGGAGAGAAAAATATTCCGTAAAGTAATTGTTTCATATGTAGAAAAAAAAATGGAGAAAGCAGAATCGAACCAAGAACATTTGGTAAGCATGAGGAAACCTGCATAAATAACCACTACACCAAACTGGCATATATTTCTCTGGTTCGTCATGCACTATATCCTCCACCAAACGATCAACTTTCCTTATAAGGAAAGTGAGACGGGGGGAGAGCTGCGACAGTTTTAGCTGCTTGGGAACCCCCGGCGTTGTCTGCGAAGATGTAGCCAGAGGTGAGGGAGGGGAAGTGAGATCGCGCCTTGGAAACGTCGAAGCTGGTCATTGGTATCAGTTAAACCCCTTTACGGGACTCTTGGAGGTGAGTTCGGCGTTGAGGATCAAGGTGAGGTGAGAGTCGAGCATCATGCATCATGTGCCAGTCAGAACAATCGTGTTGGAGTTCACAGGGCTTGTAAACCAAGCTGAACTTAGCATACAACCGGGGTTCATCGGGTGAAATAAGTTTTTCAGCTTCTTGTGCTCCCTATTGTGGATTGGTCACAATCAGTATCAGAATATTAGTGACTGAACGGTTCAGCAAATTCCCCTTGTTTGGTTTGCAGGTCGTTCGAAGACTTCGGCGAAGGCCGCTGTTGTTCACCGTCAGCCACGTTTAAGAAAATCGTCATCTGGAAAGAAGGAAAGTCATAACCGACGTGGCCTCCGTCTGGAACTCGGTGTGGTAATTTTCTCATTGAGACTTGAGAAACTGAATGTGAAGCAAACCTCATTCTAGCCATTTAGTAACCCTGTAGAGACAGATGGCCCTTATGACCACGGATCGTGCCACAATTTTGCCTGAAAATCCTCCACCATCCACTTCAATCTACGTGTTGGCAAATGAGATTCTTATTGAAATATTCAAGAAAGGGGCAGAGGCGTGGGCTCTATCGAAGAATGCACAATCTACGGTCCCATTCCCCATCCTGGTTTCTGAGGTTTGTAGCCACTGGCGCGCAGTTGCTCTAGATGCCCCCGAACTCTGGAAGACCGTATACCTTCCACTCCACCTTGAAATACCTAGCACATGGGACCCGTATACTTGGGTTTCCACTTGGATTCAGCGAGCCAAGACCATTCCCATTACAGTGGTACTCGATATTCCTGGTGACCCTCCTCACATCGAAGAAATTTGTCTTTCCCAGGTCATACCACTCATCGTGAAGGCTTCTCCTGTTGTGTCTGTTCGCCGACTTGATATCCGTTATCACCAAGAGGGTATTTCGAGAGAGGTGATCCTTCAAACCTTCCAAGAGTTTTTCGATTCTCCACACCGCCTCACGTTTGAACAACTTTCACTATATTTTTCTGGAACTTCCTTTCGAAATGCCGTTATGTTAACAGGCTCTACTTGCCCATGGGGTCATACGGTCATGGATCAAATGCCTGTTTTCCGTGTTTCAAAACTTCGGCTACGGGGTATCATAATCAACCCCCTCCAATTTCCCAACCTAACGTCCTTGACTATCTTTGATCTCCTCGCCAATCACAAAGATATCGAGGCTTTATTCGCGACGTCTCCAAACTTGACCCATCTTACTTTGAGAGATTTCCGGATGGCTCCACAGAGCAGCTTGACTATCGGGAACACAGTATGCTTGCAATCACTACAAACTTTGGCCATCCGCTTCGACACAACGAGTCCAAATTCTGCTTACCCCCTGTCTTACCTCCATCTCCCAAATCTCAAATACCTCGAGCTCGATGGAAATCTCACACTTTCGGTGTCCCAGGTTCTTTGCGAATCACCTTCAGCTGACCAACTGGAGATTCTTGTACTCTCGAACTTTAAACACTCGTTCCGTTCGCCCAGCCCCACGGCTTCATACACGTTACATTCAGTGAAGCACATACGACTCATCAATGTGAGGCTTTCCGAATGCATGTCGCCTTCACCCACTTCGATGTCGATTCAAACTTCGCTTCTTGATTGGCCAGCTCTCCAAACTCTCGCCATGAATGCCACTCTCGCTCGAGACGTCATCGATTTGCTGAATTTTCCACACCCCCACATCCGGACTGTGTATCTCACACCAGCTGCCCAACATCATCTTACCCATAACACAGGGAGAAACGGACATCATCTTACCCGTAATACAGGAAGAAATGAAGGGAACGATACGTTCTACCTGAAGTTTCCTCTTATCTCTGCACGCGACATACGTTGTCCCGATGTGAAAAAGAGGGACGAAGCGAACATTGCGGCAGCTTCGTATAACAAGAGGTTCAACGTAAAGGACTTCGATCCGATGATACATTCATGCTTACTCGAAGATCCTGAAGAACCAGGATTTTTAAGTGAGATCATTTAATCGTTTATTTACAAAACTTTCTTTCTAGTTTGAATATTACGTCGCAGAAATGATACCGAGTATCTTAGAAACGTAAAATAGAAAAGTCTCTACCACCTTAGACACGATCGCGCTGCTGCGTGGAATAATTCTATTGTTCGTCGGAGGGGAGTTGATCATAGATGGGACAAAGTTGCTCCCAAGCGGCTGAGGTGTGATAGCGTTAGAAACAATACGCATGATATGATCGCATAACTTGCCAGGAACCGGGTCTAAGGCTGGTGTGTCAGGAATGTCTTCGGCAAATACCACGGCAAGTCCCCTGATAATTTCAATCATTCATCGATGGGTTGTAAGTGATTGAATACATACAGTTCCAAGTGCCAATCGATGTGGCTGCCACCAAAAGGAATGGTTGTGAATATGTAATGTCAAGCGAAAAGTTCAATTCTACTCACCAATGCAAGAACCATGGACCAGCATTATCGGTCACAAACCGGATGGTAACGTTATCACCATCGACTCCAGTGCTGACAGTGTCTCTCCGAACGGGAGTGGCGTAGTTATATATCTTGCTCCCAGCGCTTCTGACAACGGAGAAGCTATGCTACCGGAAAAAGAATGTTAGCCAAACTGAATTTAAGGAGCGAACAATGAGTCTCACACCGTGAAGATGGAAGGGATGCTAGAGGTTTTTTCTTTCAGCAAAAAAGATATGAGCTGAAAAACAAGCAACTTACGGGACCGCCAAGTTCAGGTCCAGTTCCAGGCAACGACAGTTCGATGACTTTGTTTCTAGGCAGGGAATAAAGTGAACCCTTGGGTAACAGCTCTTGTGCAGTTCTCGCGCCACTCAAAATTTGGAGAAGTACGGGGACCTTGGGAGGAATCCAGGGATAGCCGTTCATTCTGTAATGGAACGAGTCGAAGTCGAAATCGTGAGCGATATTTATGACAACGTCCGCCTGACCCTGTGCTGGTATTCCAGGTGCTGCCGGGCTAGTGCTAGGTACAAGGGCTGTTTCAAGCAAAGGCATGATACTTGGGAGTTGTACGGTAAGAGGCTCAGATGCCGGTGCACCAGAGTATCGAAGGACCGCAGAGTTGATCCCTCCTGCAAAACCGGGAATTCCCCTACTTGGATCGGCGCGAATCCAGTAATTGTCAACGGGTTGATTCGCGTTCAAGACTACACTGTATCTCTGGCCTGGAGAGATGACTAAGGAGTCCACAAGCAGAGGAACCACACCCTCCCCGTCGGCTTCAATGACTGTAAATTGGTGGTTATCAATAGAAAATGTGAAGTTAGGATCGCAAGCCATGGAAACGATGCGGAAACGGTATCGTTTGCCGCTCTCGATATTGACGACAGAAAGGGGCACCGCGGGCCCACCTTCGTACCTCCCTTTACCATTGATCAGAGTCGCATTAGAGTAAGGGAACGGTCTAGTCAGAGTCGGAGTTGCAGCAGGGGATGGGAGATGATACCAGTCGGCCAATGTAATGACAGTAGATTCTGTAAATCAGGAACAAGTTTAAATAAAGGGAGTGAGGAGGAGGAGGAGGAGGATTAACTCACCGTCGTCGACATCATACAATGCGCCGTGAGGATCGTCAGGGTCGTAAATGACTATGGCACCACGCAGCCCGTCACAATACTGGGTTGCTTGGTCCCAATTATTGGCAAAGATTTTTGAGATGAGATAATGGGGACTTACATAGATGCGAGTGATACCAGTAAGTACCGGATTGCTCAACATTGAACTCATAAAGGAATGAGTTATTGGGCGCAATCGGGCATTGGCTAACAAAAGCAGCTCCATCGGCCCAGTTCGTTGTTTGTTGAAAGATGCCATGCCAATGCTTATTGAAGTGAGATAGAGCCGCAAGAAGTGGGCGTAACTTACAATACTTGTAGTCCGAGCCATCGTGTTATCAGTCAACTGGTCGTGGACATTGAGTCGGAATCGATCTCCCTAAGTAATAACCATGAGCAAACTTTAAGAAACAAAGAGCGGCACCGTACCTTCTTGCCAGAAATGACCGGCCCAGGAAACATGCCCCCAACCGAGATGGCACTAAAACATACATCAACCAAAACACGGAATGCTCGAAAGGCGACTCACGAACGACTGAATCCATCGGGGCTGACGTTCACATTTGAAATAACGAGATCAGCTACGGGTCCAACAGATGATAGGCAGTCATCCAAAGACAATATCACCAGGACAAGCGGGAAGAGGATCCTGAGCATGGAGAGTTTGCAGCGAAACCCGGGCGATACACTGTGTCTTGTCAAGGGCTTGAAATGATATACGAAACAGTGACTCGCGCTCGTTATATACATGTGCAGGGGTAGAGACTGGGACGACATCGTGTAAAATGTTCGGCATTTCCTTGAGTCCTAAGGGCCAATCATTTGTTTCATGCGGCAGAGTGTGCAGCTTTTCGCAAATTTGGCTTGAAGTGACCGTGATGTGTCAATTTTAGACCGGGAAAACCATACTAACCTTTTCTGTTCGGGATGGAGGCGAAAAGGGGGCGAGCAATCAACGAACAGCGCTCAGGATTTGTAATGCGTCAACGTCACATGACCGCCAAGGACAATTGCACTTCGAAGTACTTAGCTCATCGTAAACTTCATGCACACCACAAACCTTAGAGCGCCTACAAATTTTGAACTCAAAAAGCCGCAATTATGTATTCGTCTGCCTTCAAACCACAATAAACTTAGAGTTAGATGCAAAATACGAGATCCACGCCGTGCAAAAGGCGAAGGCTGCTCTCTGTCAAAACTGGTGATCGTACGCCGGACACAGGGACTCCCAAGCGCCTGGAAATGACGCAATCAAAACTAGATTGACAGTCATGCCGCTCGAACTCACCAGGGACGGGATCCAATGTGGGCGTTCCGGGGGTATCTTCAGCGAGGACAACGGCCAATCCACTAGACATTTGATTATCTGTCAGAAACATCGCGTAGAGGGATGAGGAGACACAAATACAGATCCAGATGCCAATCAATATGACTTTACGAATCGGCAGTCAGCGTCATTCATCGAAATAAAAAGCGAAGTACGACGAACCAGTGTAAGAACCATGGCCCCGAATTATCCGTCACGAAACGAATGGTAACATTATCACCTGCCGCAGCTAGGCCAGTGCTAATAGTGTCGCGGCGCACCGGGTCGAGGTAGTTGTACACTGAGCTACCTGCGCTCCGGATGACAGAGAAACTGTGCTGATTAGAAGGTGATAAAGATCAGTCGCTGGGTAAGTGAATGGGAAGAGGGAGGAGAGCGTACACCGTGTAAGTGAAAGGGGTGCTATCAATGATCAGATATCAATTTAATTAACACGGCCACAAGGAGCAGGGAGACACCCACGGGGCCACCGAGATCCAACCCAGGCAAAGAAATCTCAATAACTCTATTCCTCGGAAGGGGATAAACCGAGCCCGAAGGTAAGAGCTCATTAGCCGTCCGCGCTCCGCTCAAAATTTGTAGCAATATAGGGACTGTTGGCGGAATCCATGGCACACTGTTCATCTTGAATTTAACGTCGATAGGATCCCAGGACAACGCCAGGTTCAACGCCACCACGCCCTCACCAGCTGGAGTAGTAGGGCCGGGGGCAGCGGGGTCAGAGAGAGAGTGCAAGTCCGTTTCCCGAAGTGGGCGGATACTAGGCGCTTGTGTAGATAATGGATCCACATGCACCGGCGCTCCAGCGTATCGCAATATGGCGGAGTTGACTGCCCCTTGGAACCCTTGGACGCCCCTATTGGGTAGCGCGCGAACCCAATAATTCGCTATAGGTTTATCTGCAGTGAACACAACCGAGTACCTCTGTCCTGGAAAAATCTGAAGTTCGTCAACTAGCAAAGGTTGGGTGTTTTCCCCGTCGGCTTCAATTACAACAAAATCATGGCCATCGATGGAGAACGTAAAATTTGGGTCACACGACATGGCTATGATGCGGAAACGATATCGTTTGCCGTGCTGAACGTTGATTACAGAAAGGGAAACTTGAGGCCCAGAGGGGTACCTCCCCTTACCATTGATGATTGTGGTAGCCGAGACGGGAGGCGGCGATTGACCGGCAGCCGTCGGCGCAAAAATATGGTACCAGTCAGCCAGAGTGATTACGGTTGACTCTGTCAGGTATGTAAGCTTGGTGACGTCTTCCCAGAGGGATCCTCACCATCGTCGATGTCGTACAAGTGACGATGCGGGTCACTGGGATCATATACAACAAGAGGGCCGCGAAGGCCATCGCAATACTGTGTGGCTACGGACGTTGTCAACGCCAGGCAGACTCAAATCAAAGAATAATCCCTAGGGGTTCACGTACAGACATGTGAGTGATACCAGAACGTTCCAGCTTGGTTCTTAGCTTGGAAATCGTAGAGAAAAGACTCGTTGGGTGCGATTGGGCACTGACTGACAAAGGCTGCTCCGTCTGCCCAGTTTGTCGTGTTTTGGAATATCCCATGCCAGTGCTACGAAATTAGCGACCATGAGCGTACTTGCGAGGATGGACAGCCTACGATGCTTGTACTTCGGACCATGTTGACATCTGTGAGCTCATTGATGACATTGATTCGAAATCCATCATTCTGGAAGAAAGGGGTAAGGTGGCAATAAGGTAAAGTAGAAATATTGAGTAGACCTTCTTTCCGTGGATCAAAGGACCAGGGAATGTTCCCGCAGCCAATACAGCCCTATAGCAATACAGGCGTTAGCAACGAAACGAAACCACGAGTTGAGCAGCGGAGGGACTCACGAACGATTGAATCCATCCGGGCTGACCAGCCTATTGACAATCCTCAAGTCGGTATGTCCATGGCTAGCGTTGACCACAACCGCGAGAAAGAGAATCCAGAGTTGAGTTCGCAAAAGGATCATGCTCAAAAGGTGAGTTGGGTAGTACACCTGCAGCAATTACAGCATCTTGAACGACTTTATACTTCCCTCCAATCCACCAAACGCGGATGCCGACGTCGAAGGAGTCCACCCTTGAAGCTTGATTCCTCTAACGTGATCCCATCAGAAGGGTTGTCTCATAGGCTATAGGCCATGGTGTGGTTGGTGTCGGGAACCAAAAGCTGGATGCCTGGTTTGGCAATGGGATATCTGTCCCTTGGCTTCACGTGACAAGTCTCGTGTCACAGGTAATAGGTCAATAATAGGTATCAAGATCAGATTCAATGGTCAAATTTGAGTAGGGAATAGACTGAAAAGATGCTGGAGGTGGTTATGTTTATTGAAATGACGGTTAGAGATAAGATTTTAAATTCCCATCTCTTTGGGGAAATAAAATTTATTAGCCTCAGTGTTTCGCCGTCAGCAACGACAGGGTTTTTGTACCAGGAGATTCAGTGAAGCTTCCCTTTTCTTCAATTGTTGATGACGATATTACGAAGAATGCAAAGTAAAAAAACGTTTAGCGAGGTCCATAACGATACTAACTACCAACGGTTCTCTTCCACACAAATCTTTGGTGGTTATTGGTTGCAAGGGGCCCGTCGAATCAGAAAAAAATTAAATAGATCTCAAAATGTGCACGGGAAACCGTACTTAAAACAATTATCAATGAGTAGAAGAGAATTGAGAGCGTATAAATAAATATATTTATCTCCTAGTCTGTTGTGAGAGTGCTATGATCGCAAAATTAATCTCACTGGTGCCACATTCATTTCGCGTCGTGTGGAAGATTTCTGGTGGGTAAGCAAGGATTAGGGGACTCTGGAGGGGGTTTGTCAAGAGGATCGCCTGCGCCATACGCAGGGCACAAATTTTTCCAGGCCTCTGTGGATGATGTCGAAATTTACACTATGGTGGTTTTGCGGCACGACTTACCAGGAACGGGATCCAATATAGGTGTCCCAGGGGTATCTTCGGCAAGAACGACTGCTAATCCGCTGAGTGTTTATCACCGTTGACGTCAGCAAGAGCAATGAGACAAGTCTTAACAGACGCACAGGTCCAAGTGCCAATCAATGTGACTAAACAAACATATCCTCAGCACAACTAGTTAGAAAGAAACTATTGACGTTGACGAACCAGTGCAAGATCCATGGGCCCGAATTATCGGTGGTGAAGCGGATCGTAACGTTATCCCCCGCAGAGGCCAGGCCAGTGCTAACAGTGTCCCGACGCAACGGATTAGCATAGTTGTACACAGAACTTCCTGCACTCCGTACGACGGAAAAAGAATGCTAATTGAGTTAGAGGGCTTGGTTCAATCACAAAAACGAGCGAGGAAAAACGTACACCATGCAAATGGAACGGATGCTATCATGGTCAATTAGCTGGCCAAATAATCGAAGGGGGGAATCCTTAACACTCACTGGCCCGCCAAGATCCAACCCGGGCATTGAAATCTCAATAACCCTATTCTTCGGAAGGGGGTACACCGAACCCGAAGGCAAGAGGTCCTTGGCAGTCCGCGCTCCACTCAAAATCTGCAACATTACAGGCACTGTGGGGGTGATCCAGGGCGCACCATTCACTGTAAATTTGCCAATGGCAGCATCCCATGCCGGGACTAAGTTCAATGCCACCACATCCTTGCCAGCCCGAGTCGGCGGACCAGGTGCGGCGGGATTAGAGAGTGGATGCAAATCTGTTTCCTGAAGTGGCCGAGTACTATTTGTTTGTGTAGATTTATCCGCGTTCGTGGGCGCTCCAGCATAGCGCAATATGGCAGAGTTGACGCCGCCTTCAAACCCTGCAACACCTCTATTCGGCAGTGCACGAATCCAGTAATTCGCAACAGGTTTATTTGCCGTAAGGACCACGGAGTACCGCTGTCCCGGAAACACCTGAAGTTCGTCCACCAACAAAGGTTGGGTATTATCTCCGTCTGCTTCGATCACGACGAACTGGTGGCCGTCGATGGAGAATGTGAAGTTCGGATCACACGCCATCGCTATAATACGGAACCGGTAGCGTTTTCCGCGTTGTACGTTGATTACAGACAGGGGAACTCGAGGGCCAGATGGATACCGCCCCTTGCCATTGATGAGTGTTGTGGCGGAGGTAGGGGGCGGGCATTCTCCTGCACCCGAAGGTGCGGGGGCGTGGTACCAGTCCGCTAAAGTGATTATAGTCGATTCTGACAAATTTTATTGTCAGTAAGTCCCGAAATGTAATCCATGAGAGATAAGGGCAAACCATTGTCGACGTCGTACAAGGAACGATGCGGATCATTAGGGTCATATATCACCAGAGGCCCACGGAGGCCGTCACAGTACTGCGTAGCTAGATGAGGTCTTGAATCTGAATATAGCCAAATAGAAGGCAAAAAATCACGTACATAGATGTGAGTGATACCAGAAGGTCCCCGCCTGGTTTTGAGCTTGGAAGTCATACAAAAAAGAGTTGTTGGGCGTAATAGGGCACTGAGTGACAAAAGCCGTCCCATCGGCCCAGTTGGTCGTTTTTTGGAGTATCCCATGCCAATGCTTGTAAAGATTAGTGGGGCTGATTGCACACTCATTTGCGGAGGATGGTAACGTACAATGCTTGTGCTCCGGACCATGCTGTTGTCCGTCAGCTCATCTCTGACATTAATTTGAAACCGGCCATTCTGGAAGTGAGGGGTAGGTAAATAGGAAGTGAAATAAATAAAATTGAAAGTTTTACGTACCTTCTGTCCTTGAATAAGAGACCCAGGGAACGTACCACCTGCCAATACCGCCCTAGAGCAGCCATAACAATCAGTGACGAATGCAATTGCTACGAAGAACGCTAAAGTTCACGAGCGGTTGAACCCATCTGGACTGATGACCCTATTGACGATCCTCAAGTCAGTGTACCCATAGCCAGTAGAAGCCGCAACCGCAAAAAGGAGCGTTAGAAGCCGCTTGCGCACGAGAACCATACTCCGAGAAATAAAGAGAGGTAGACCTGCAAGCAATAATGCGACATTTTGGCAACGTTAAGTATAAGAACCGAAATCGAGAATATGTTTATCCGAGTGGAGGGGTGGGCACTCTGGTTGAAGAGTTATTCATACCACCCGACGACGCAACAAAAGTTCTCGGGACTATTCATAATTTGTCTCGAACGTAGCGGAAACAGTGTGAATTGAATCAATTGTGCTTTGAATTTTTATCCAAGGACGTAAGAAATTCTCTCAAACGCAGGTATAAAATGACCGACTCACAATAATAAAGCACGCGGTGCAACAAAAAACACCGGTGCGTACTAGTAGGTACCGGTGACGTATACGTACCTGAAATATAAATGTTTCACCTGCAATCTAACACCGAGAATGACTAATTTTGTCTCTTCTTTCGTCTCTGAAAATCAATCAAATGAGAAATTCGGTGATATGTGGCAGAAACCCCGGAATGTGATTCGCCGTGTTCATCCCATGGTTCTCCTTTGGTCTCTGTGGATTGGATCACAATGGTTCATTGAATTTGAGCTTATAGACACCCAAAAACCGCACGCACCTCCCAAAATCAACGGAGCCGCCCACTTCCAAGGCCCGTCGCCCACCACTGATCCGGGGACCTTGGAAGCTTGAATGGCCCTCAAAGATGGTGATTTCGCATCCCCTATAATGAATCCAAAGGCACTGTAATAGTCATGTCGAAAACGTGGGATTACGGGTCCTCTGATGACCGCTGGTTGAAAAACGGAACAGGAGACATGGCGTGCACAGTGCACACCCCCGAAGAGAGGCTGGAGTTGCGCGAGCGGATGCAGTGCGAGGGAGCTCCGCAGATGCGTGCTGCCAACACCCGTTCACATACACATGAATCTGCGGTCTTCTACACGCGTAGGCTAGCAATGCACAACCCAAGCACAACTTCGCGGGTGCAGATATTTTTTAAATGTTGGATCTGGGCTTGCGGAGGAAGCGTACGTCGGGGCACTGGGAATTTCGGATCATTGGGGATGTGAATTTGATGCCGGGGAAGGGGGATTTGGTCAGAAGGACAGGAACAACAGTAGTGATCAGCCGAGGGTGGAGATGGGCGGAATGAATTACAGGGTAATGTGTATGGCACGGCCTGCCAGATGAGATCGACAAAGAGGGGTCTTCCCTGGTCGTCCTGCTTCCTGCGAGGTACGGATCTTGCCTGCGTTGGTACCTTGATGTGGTGGTCGAGACTCGAAGAAACCCCATGGCTTTGGAAGAACGGGTGGTGATAGAATAAAGTGCGCGGCAACACGGCGTATGCAACGCCGACGTGGGTTTGTGGGATCCAATATCATCGGAATGCTAGTACATAGCTACTCATACACTTCCTATTGCGCCGTTTTACGTTGCAAGAAAAGGTTGAAGAAGAGTTGGGGGCGTACCGTTGCCACCATAGTCCGTCCTGGGCCTCCTCCTGGGCCAAGTTTTTACAACGAAATAAGTCACAGCCGAAAAGAGGTCGAGCAAAGGATATCTGGAGTTCCCTAGAACGAGAATTGTGCAAACTTCTGCTTCCAATAAGGAGGGCTACGCGCCTTTGTCTAGTCGGGATTGGAGTTGTGGGTCGTTTGTGAGTGATGGTTTTGGGCAACACGTGTGATTGCCTCATCGTCTCTTCGCTCTCACCCCAACCACCACCATCAACCGTCCACTCACATCTCGTCTCTCTATTCTGCCTATCAACGAGTTTCGATTCACATACGAACGGTGGGGTGTGGTCGCAAGGGAATCAAAGGACTGCTGGAATGACGACAACCCTAGGACGACGACTTCTCACAGCAGAACGGTAACAGGTTCAACATCACCGCCTCGGCGGCTTGCGTAAGACATCCAGGCGTTTGGGTTCGTCCGTAGTAGCCATTTGACTGGCCGAATGAAAGGAACCGAGGATGCCGAATTCACCACTTTGTCGAACATCAATCTATATCTCGATGTATGTAAGTCTTTTTTATTCGTGTTTCTTCCCGTTTTGAAACTAGACTGTCACATAAACTCATGCGCCCCAGAACTCAGTATTTGCGGACATGAGTACTTACTGCACCACGAAAGTGCAATACCTCAGTCAGGATTTTGTAGTTCATAAAGCGGCGCGTCACTATCATAGATTGACTGATCCACACTGACTGAATCAAACGTCTTACCGCGTCTTTAGTCGTCTTGCTGCTCTCCTTGTCGAAACAAAGAGCTTGGGTATGATTGAGTGGTTAGGTGCTCTGGGCCTGGTAATAAAATTTATACTCATACCGGAATTTTTGGTCACCCTCCGGTGAGTTCTCGTTTGATTTTCGTGGTCGTACTAATGTTCCCTGACAACCACTTGTGTCACTCGAAGCAGTGAACAACGACAACCGAAGTTCTATCGTACTAGTATTAATGTAGCTCCACCGCAACAGGCGTCAAATCTCCACAAGTTCCAAACTTGCCCCGTTTTCATCTACAGCGGGTCCTTTCTTGTGCTTCGCACCTCGCCCAGAGCTCACTCTTGTTTTGGTTATAAGGCCCAAATAAGGCCATCACCGTGTTCACTGCCATCTCACCGCTGTTTACGACGTTTCTTCAACACCCTGGAACCGTTTATTGTGAGTCCCTATCGCGCTGCTCACCTCAAAAGCCAGTGATCGTTCTCGCCATCATGGGTGTTGTTTAGGCGGGTCTTTCGGTACTTTCCCACAGGAGAACCACCTTCTTTGACCTTCATTAGGCACTTGCCGTACCGGGGAAACCTCTCAAAATCTAGCCACCCGATGAACACCCGAACCTTTCAAAGGGACCCAGTGGCGTGCTACGGATAGTTCGTAAATCATGAACCTCCCTCAATCCGAATCGCCCGGGGTGCCTATCTTTACAGTTCCTTAACTGGACCTTGAGCTCGAAGAGGGAGATCTTTGTTTGGAATGCTTAGCTGCTAGGGCTGAGCAGTCCGTCAAGACCCGTTACGGCCGCCGTGCGTGTATTACATATCATAATCTTCTTGACCTATTCCGGTCACTGATCAGTTGCGAAAAAATATACCTAGCCTGTGCGATGCTTTTTTTATGCACAGACGCCAACCACAGCTGAATTCGACCCCAATAGAACCCAATCTACCTGAAATATCGAGCATTGATCACGATTAATACGGCCGCAGCCCTAATAGTAGCTGTGAGCGCTGGTTGTGAAGGTGACGGTTCACACCATATCAGTTCGCTTTGCGCGGCGGGCGCCTATCTAAACAAACACGAAGGAGGCACGTCGACATGGACCGTGGTGACACAGATTTTCAACTTATATCCGGAGGATCCCTTGGACATGAACAAGCTGATCGGTATGTAAAGGGATATGATGGCCATTGTGGTAGTCTTCCAGGATCACTATAAATACTTCCACTGACAAAAGCCCTGGCCAGACGTGCTCCTTTCTGACAATGTTTGCCGTAAAGAACCTCTTGCAACGCTTGTTGAAACTCGTACTGAGCATATTCCTCAGCAGTAGCCTGCGCAGCTGGCTTGCTCGGCTGCTCTTGGGTTCATGCTTCACGTGTATCGCATTGTCACTCTCCATCTGGGGTATTGTAGGCCCCGAAAATCTGATCCCGATGGTGGTCCTCAATGTCACCATACTTTCCCATCACTCGTATGTCATGACTAAGTGAGCCTCGTCCCTTCAACCAGTCTGACCATAGCTGATCACCCTCTCACACAGACGTGAGGCATTAAAGGAGAAGCCCCGGTTCGGATCCTTAGTCGACTTTATCCTCACCACGGCTGAATGCACGTTTGGTGAGCAATACTATTTGGGAATGTGTTCATGATTAGGCTGACAGCGATGTTGCTAGTGCCTTACTTTGTGCAACCTTGGAGCTGGTACGGAAAGGATCCTTATGAGATGCCTGCTGTTACCTTTCTCGTCACGTCCGCGATCTACGTCCAGATAGCATGCCTCTGCCTGCTCTTGATGGTACGCTTTGCCGTGATTGTTACACAGGCCATTGATGAACCCTCGGGGGTGGTGACCAAACCATTTGACTTTTATGCCATGACAAAGGGCGACAAACCACCGTCCTTACCCATTCACCGCATAGTTGCGGGGCCCGCCATCAGGTGTGTCAGTTCTGTACTCTGGATATTAACGAGGTTTACCACTCGCACAGCCATGACCAGCATAAGTTTGTCCCCCTCCTCAGACGCAGTTTCGTCACGGTCATTGCGTTGGTCCTCCTCGCATTCTCGTTCACCAACCTCGTATTTGGACCTGTTCAAGAGGCGGCTATGAGCCCTTATAAAATATATACCACACCTACCACACTAACGTTGAATAATCCGGCCGTTGTTGGTGAGAATTGGAGAATTGTTGCTGTAAGTAAAATCTTTGTTTTGCAACCGTGTTTGCCAGTGTTCACAACTTGCCATTGGCAGCTCGCTAGAAATGGTACGTTTGGCGACGAGTCTAAACTTCATGAAGCCATAAACGTCAATGCCCAGTGGGACAACAAGACCGGTATGTCATTGGCTTCCCGTTGAGCAGGACATTCTGTCTGAGTCGCTATAAGTTTCCATCTGCGCCTTCAAAAACCTCGAGCCTGCTTTCCAGGCTATGAATTCGGAGGATAACGTTAAAATGGTTGTGTTCGACTGTCCCCTTGGATGGCCTGACGTTTTGATAACCGTCAACTTCACTACTCTCGGAATCAACGGCACATTTCCATCGAATTCTGCATCTAGCGCCGTATCGATCGTGGTTGGCATGTACAACGATACCGGGGGCGTAATCCGAAACACATGGCCAATCCCTCTTGTCCCTGATGCGCATCTTTTTGGAGGGGTTATTGCAACTATCCGAGAGCAGTTCAGGAGGCCGGGATTGGCATCTTTGGGTATCTTCAGCTCTGTATGTCGCTCAGTTCGTGCTTTCTACTCGCATCCTTATTAAGCCACGTCGCGACACCAGACAGAGGGGTTCTATATTGGTGCCGTCCCATTCCTGTCGTCAGACCCTTCCTTGCAAGTTCCTCGACACAACAACACTGCCACGCTACGCTTGTACCTACAAGACGATTACTCTGACTGGCATGTCTCTGTCGAGTATCGAGAGAAATCTGTCTTGAGTGGACTAGCCGCAGTGGGAGGCTTCTGGACGGTGCTCAACGGTTTATTTGCCACGATATTTGGGACGACGCTGTTGTTTGTTCTCTTTGGTGACTCGGAGTGATGTGCTCTTCCGTATATCCGAGGTTTACTGACGAGGACTTCAGGCAGCAAGCCTCTCTCAACCTTCGGTTTGATACATCAGATACCTAACTTCAGGCCTGACGAGCCTGGCGAGCGTTATCGAAACCTCTGTCAATCTGACAAAGGGATGTTGGATTACATCCATGACCACTTCGTCGATTTGAGCCCATTCGAGGGTAATCGACCTATCCATGAAATTACCAACCCAGGTACAACTTCGTCTGATCTTACACTGGCAAGGTGAACAAGGTCAAGACAGACCATTACGTACGAATGCCGATTCTCGTTACGTATCTCTCATTTTACTCGTATAGTCTATGATCACTGGCATTGATTTCTCCGGCAAACAGCTATCATCGTACCATTAAACGGTCCATACTTACAGTGTTTTGCATGTGAGATTGCACTGCAAATCCCACGAAAACTTGTTTGCATTTGTATTTCGTGACCTGAAGTACACTTTTGAGATTCCGCCTCAAACTCTAATCCCAAAACGGGAAGCTGCTTTATTTTTAGGCAGCAACCAAACAAACCGATGTTTGTCGTCTCGCCCTCCAAGGTTCCAACTCGACGACGCCTACTTACAGGAGCTTGCCTGCCTCATCCCTATACATACTCCCTCGCAAAGGTATTTTTTTGTCTTTCCCATATTCATTACTGTTACTGATAAGCATCATGATCCTTCCTGGCCCGGACTGACATAACATGGCGAATCAACATGATCCTCGCAACAAGAACCCACCGCTTCGAGTATAAAAACATCAACCCTTATCATGCAACCTCGCAGAATGAAGAATTTGCAAGGACAATACAGCACGAACAATGTTTCGCCTCGAGCGGTGGGTCACGAGCCTGAGGAGGTGCAAAGGAGGTGTAAATTGAAGAGCAGCAGCTCATGTAATGCTGAATTGAAGGGCGAGATTTACTAGAGCAGTTCGGTGCTTGACTGCAGGTGTGTTTTTTACATTTATAGATCATCGCTACAAGGTGGCGTCAACGGTCCTCATAACGTTACCAAAGATACATCATGTCTACATTAGTTGCAGCAATACTACTAGAATTTCTGCTCTAACTTTAAGATGTTGTCCCTTTTCTCTTTTTTTGAACTCCTTTTTGAGGGCTGCAAGGAAATATAAGATAACTTGTATTCAAATAAACCCATGGCGAGCCACAGGACTTCGACAAAATTGTTGAGGATTCTAAAAATAAGGCAGTTTCCCATTTTTGGATTAGAGTTTGAGGCGGAAAGTGAACAACTCCTGAAGTACTGTGCCTTATCGGGAAGCTGGCCACCTTAACTCATTGTCCTAGTTAAGGACTGAGTTTCGAACTATTTGCCATTTTTTTTTACATTTTCCATTAGGTGTACTTCTCATCTTAATGACTACATATATTTTGGAATTTTAAATTGAAATTTGACTTGGTGGTGTTTTTTGTGCATAAAAAGACCATAAACACAGCCCTGACTGGGAAGCTGGCCACATCTGGTTTGTATTCAAATCGTGTTCGGCTCCTTACGTTTCGTGACAAATACCTATAAATAGAATAACTCCAGAGTAGCAATCCAGCAGCAATATGCCTGTATCGTGATGGATAATGGTCCTCTCAGAACAAAAATTTGCGTAGCTATTTAGAACTATATGTGTATAATTATCGAGAAGTTTCGTAATTTTTGGGTGTGTTTTGACCGACCTTTTCTTTCGAACATTCCTGTGCAAGTAATGTTGGACTTTGGGAAGTCCTGGTTGATAGTGCCAGGAGATTGGGGAATAAAAATCAGAAAAAAATAGAGTATAAAAGATGCATTGAATTTAATGACTATTCCCTCAAAAGGTTAGAGTTGGTAATGATTTCTGCAAAAGATCTCCATGATTACTTTCCAGAGGCGACATTTATTATTTAAGAATGTACCCCTTGATGACACTGAAGTTCCAGTCCAATCTCAATTCAAAAATATTGTTAAAAAAGGCTACTAGCTGCTTTACTCTACTTGAGTTTTGACTGTGCAAAAATTTGGGTCAAGGACCTATAATTCTGCACATGCAAAGCTGGCCATGTTGAGGCAGCATCGTGTGAACATGGTAAAAGTGCTATGGCACCTGAATATGAGGAATCATTCGTTCATGGGGTTGATTTAAGGACAATTTTCATTTTTTAGATATTCTCACTCAATTGACCTATTCTCAAGCTTTCCAATGATATAATTTTTTTGATATTTCATGTAGCACAAGCAGCTGCAGAAAATCAGTGGCCAGCTTCCTGATTATGTACAGTAACCATTTTGGGTTGATTTTGGGTGTAGAATGCATGACATCAACCACAAACGACAAGCACAAACAAGTTTTTGTGAGATTTTGAGTGCAATCTCACATGCAAAGCACTGTACTGGCACATGCTATCTCAGTTTGATGCTAGACATTGAATGCTACTTGTATCTATACACACATGATCGGAGTAGTAAACTGATGATCACATTCTAATCTCGGGCTTATGTTGGGCTTATGACTATTCTTGAATTTATTGTGGAATCATTGTCAAACTTCAACAAGCATCGACCCAGATATAGTACAACTCACAGTGTATAATTAAACCACTTCAAAGTTCCACACCTGGGCAACACCTGGGTCAGGGTATTGCTGTCGAAAAAAAGTTGGATAATCTTTCCAGCCCTATGATAAATCCCAGCCAGGTTTGAAACATCAGTGATAGCAATGAAGCCTCTGCCCTCAACATCAAAGCTATGGTTGGGCGGTTGATTGGGGTCTTTGTAATGGATTCTGTTGCACAAATCAGATGGGTTTCTACCCCCTGTAGTCTTTGATCCAACCCCCCTTTATGAGTACTGATCCAACCCCCAAAATAAAACTACTGATCCAACTAAATATGTAAGGATATTCAGGCTGTTTACAGTAGTAGCTGTAAAACAAAGTAAATCAAGGATGTTTCCGGATTGTCGAATCGTAGCAGGATGGCATGGTGATCTTGAATTTTGTTGAAGTGAGTGCCCCACAAGGGCTGCTGTCAGGGACCTCTCGCTGCTCGCACAGGGGAGAAACAGTGATTTATCCAATGAGTAAATCCTGGGCATATGTTGATTGGAGGCATTATTGCTCAATGATTTTCTTCACATTTGTTCAAAGGATTATATTCAAAATTAAAGCTGAGATAAAAAGACACTATGGATGGTAGTCCCATGTGAAATATGCCCATTAGTAACAATCTAAATGAAGCTGATGAATTTACTTAAAATGTGTCTTGAAATATTGGGCATATTCTGAATACATTTAATAATATCTGGGCACATTGAAAGCAAATATTGAATGAGCTGCTGGGGAAAATTTGATGCACATTTTACCAATAGTTCTTATGTGGTCCTTTGTGCACATCCTAATTGCAGTTGATGTTGAATGTTGGACATATTTTGAATTTACCCACCTGGCAAATGTGAAGTAAATTATCGAGCAATAATGCCTCCGATCAACATATGCCCAGGATTTACTCATTGGACAAATCACCATTTCTCCCCTGTGTTGGGCGCTTGGTGACAGGCTTCTTCCCACGATCCCAGATGTCATGCAGGTCATCAGAACATCCTCCGATCGATTTGACCACACCCTGCTGAAGCCTGACGTGGTGCTTGAGCAGATTGACAAGTTGTGCAAGGAGGCTGCAAAATAGTCAAAGATGAGTTCTTACTATCACCTCTTCCAGCTGTGATTTATGATTGAGTTCACAGAGTTGTTGTGTAAATGGTAGTATATCTCTCAATTTTACACGTCTCGGAACATCCCAAAACCTATCACGACCCAAAATGCACCTTGTTTCGTGATGTGTCCTCGGGTTCCATCTCGGTGTAGGATCACATCCTAGTTCATCTTTTCCCCCCTTCCTACCTACACCCCTACAGTGAAGTAATGTAACCTATGACTGACAGCGCGTTAGAAACGACGTCAGCCTCCTCCTATCTGGTTAGTACCCTCCACCTCCAGCTCTCGTAAGTCATCACCCACCAACCTTTAATCAGCTGCAATGCACTCTGATGATATCTATGTGGCCCTCAGGGCCCAGTAGTAATCTCGATTCTCTTGATCTCCATAAATCTTTGTGTTTGACATGGCAATTTATATTGTGTCTGTATTTGTCAAACTCATTGCAATATCAACAGCTATTTCACATAGTTTCGAGGCTTCAGCACCATGCGATAGGCACTCTGGTTTTGCCAAGTCCCTTCATGGGTGTTTGCTTTGGCACAGCTGCAGGAGTAGTGACAACAGCCCTCTACCATGACTATCTCCACCATCTCTGGCCTCTATACAGTGCTTGGTGTGGCTGATCTAGTTTTCTTTCATGGAAAATGCTGACTGTACTAGTCATATGAACATCATGGTGAGTTAGACCCCACCAACTGCCTTTGTTTTCTTTGAGGAAAACTTCACCTTCCAAGCGCTTCATTGCCTAACAGCTTTCTACAGGATCTGAACCATTCAATGGCCCAATTTATGTTGCTTAGGACCATTCAGTTGGCTTCCAGCAACCAGGGAAAATTTCTTGCCAATCCACCATCAATTTCCCCAGTTGTGGAGGTTCCTCCACTTCTGTCACAACTGACACTAACACTCCCCTCTCTTTTTGACCTCCAAAAATATGGGTTACGATCACCATGAACACATTTTTTTACCCTCTGAAAATTTGATTTACCTCACCATCCATGGAATTTCCACACCCCGTTCCGCTTCCTGCAAGAGAATCACCTTTGGTGTACATTTGGAGTCTCCCCAGACCAGACCAACCAGCTGGCGGTCTCGTCTCATTTTCCTCAACCACTTGTTAGGGTGGTCTCCTTGACTCCCCCCTGGTCATGCACCATGCAGCACTCAAATAACAGGCACCATTCTTGCCTCTCCCCACACAACCTTTGTTGGCCCTGGTCTTGCCACCAGCCAATACTTTTCATGACGTCACACATGTCGTGTCATCTTCACACCCATGTCCCCTGCCCATTTTATCTGTGCATTGCCTCTCCCCCATTTTGTTGGGTGCAAACTAGCTCGAGGGCACAGATCCTGCATCATCATACCAATCCACCTCATAAACTCTCTTCTATCACCTCTCTCTCCCTCAATGTTGGTGCAAATGGTCCGAATAATGGTGAAAACCTTTGATCAATAGACTGACAGCTTGCTTTGGGCTGTTGTATTTGCTACTGCACCAGCTACGATTGAGTTATACACCATCAGCAAAACCTGGGTGAGCTAAGCATAGTGTTTGAAAGTCCAGTCCGGTCTGGTCTTTTGGTGCCCAGTGTCTTAGACCGTAACCATAACTGGTCCTCCCAATTCCAGAAACATCAAAAAACTGAACTGAACCACAACAGACCGGTCTTTTGCAGTCTTTTGCGGTTACAAGACCAGTTTTAACCGGTTCTGGTCTTGACCGGTTTGCAACTGGTCTAAACTGGTCTTTGTAGGGCCATGAAACAATAATATTCTAAGTGTTTTATGTACGAGGAGGTCAGTGGACATAACTTGGTACATAGTGATGTGCACAGGTAAGTGTGGGTGTCTCCACATCTACCTTTACTGTCCATTGACATGCCTTGTCGTCAACATATGCCATCCATTGTCCTTCATCTTTGTATCATCATTGTGTAGTGTATCTGTGTATCGTTGTCATTCGTCTATGCATCATTGTCGTTCATCCATACATCGTCGTGGTGGTTGTTGGTGTGTGAGTAGTCGTTGTTGTTCAGCAGCTATGTTGTCATCAACATGTGCCATCTGTCTTCATTCATCCACGTATCCTCGTTGTTGTTGTCCATCTGTGTGTAGTCCTTGTCATTCATCAGTTATTGGATGCCATGCCACATGACGTGGCCTCTGCTTCTCATGTCAAAACAGGAGAGCAGGAGAGGAGTTACATGCTCACCTGGATCGATGCGGACAGTGACAACGACATGGGTTGTCACCGTCTGGACGACATGGCACATCCGTTGACGTGCCATGTCATCGTCATCCAACTGTGTGTCATCATTGTTTGTCTGTGTGTCACCATTGTTCGTCCATGTCTTGTCGTTGTTCCATGTAGCATTGTTGTTTGCCCATGCATCATCATTCATCAGTTGTTGGTTGTCATGTTACCATTAGTGACATGGCCCCTGTTTCTCATGTGAGAAAAGAAGAGGGGAAGGGGAGGTAAGGTACTTACCTTGATTAACATGGCTCATCCGTTGACATGCCAAGTTGTCGCCATCCATCATTGTGCCAGGTTGTCATGAATGCATCATCGTCATTGTTCATCCATTGGGCTGGTGACATGGCGTGGCCAAGTTGTCAGTGGTTGCAGGAGGTGGTAGTTGGTGGTGGCAACGGTGATGAATTGGAAGTGGTCAGGGGGATGAGAATGAAATTGGATGAGAATGAAATTGTTTGTTTGTTTGATCAACACATTTTCATAATAAAAAACATACATAAATATATTGAAAGTTCGGCCCTCAAGGCCTCAAGATTCGAGGCTCGAAAGGCTGGTCTTAGACTGGTTAATCCGGTTTTTGCTCAGTCTTGAAATTCTGGAATCCGTAGAGGACTGTAGGCTGGACTGCAGTTACGGTCTTTGTCAGTCCTGATAATTTGCAGTCTTGATCAGTCACGGTCTTTTTCCAGTTCTGTGACCAGACTTCCAAACACTAGCTAAGCAGCACATGGCAGGGCTGTGCAGTGCCATAGCACCATAGAAAAGGGTATCACCTTTACAGTCCCCTGCACATTCTATGTAGCTCTACATAGAAACACACAGCCACTACACAGTGCTCCCTAGAATCTCAGAGCAGATCTGCAGCCCTCAGTAGCAACCCCTGGGGTCTGCAGATTCCTAGAGGGGGGCATACATTCTGCTCATTTTAATACCATTTTGCATGATTTTCACACAGAACTGGTGTTACAAAAAAATAAGTTCATTGTCTACACTACTACATTATACAACATATCCTAATATTCTATATAGTACTGCTATGATGACTCAGGTTGTTGCCGCTGTCCACTGTCCATTGTCTCAGCCTGTCATCATTCACCTATTGTTGTTTGTGACGTGACCTGCTTCTTGTGTGGAGAGAAGTGCTGGGTCTTTGTGGACAGATTATTGTTGCCTTGTTTATGTTGTTTCGGTTTGTTGTAGGTAGTAGAATGAAACCTAATAGCCTTTGTTAGGAGAAAACTTGTGTGAAAGACAATACACTACTTACTGTCGCGTGAAACCCCATATCCCAGCTTCTAAATGAGAAAGGCTGCCTTGTCGTAGTGTATCTGCTCATTGCCTGTACTCCTCATTTGCATTGTGTTGTTTGGCCAATTTATTTGCCATATCACCAACAGTGACATGGCCCCTGCTTCTTGTGAAAAAAGGAGAGGGGGAGGCTACTTGGTTGCTTACCTGTTCATTGTCCATCATTCATTGTTGTTGTTGTTGTTCATTGTTGTGGGTTGTCACACTGCCTGCCTCTTGTGGATATAACCAAACATGTACTGTCACAGTCATGCAACAACTCAAGCAACGACCACCACAATACTTTACCATCCCCCACATAATCCACATGGACTCCACTGGATTCCACTGGACTGGACTGGACTGAACTGCCAATCACAAAACTGGACTCCACTGGACTGTCCCAACACAAAACTGGACTGGACTGCCAACTATACCCAAAACAAAACTGGACTGGACTGGACTGCCACAGACCTTAAGCACACTTAGATTTCAAAACAAGAAGAAAATTAAAGTATATTTAATAACTACATAGATTAATTTTATTACATTTAATGTTATAGAGAAGGGGGGGGAGTGGTGATCAGGAAGGGAAAGGGAGGGGGGATAGAGGAAGGGAAAGGGAGGGGGAGTGAAGGGGAGAGGGAAAGGGAGGGGGAGAGAGGAATGGAGGGGGAGGGAAGAAGGGAGGGGGGAGGGAGTGGTGAGCAGGAAGGGAAAGAAAGGGGGGAAGGAGGAAGGGATGGGGAGAGAGTGGTGAATGGGGAGGGAGTGGTGACGAGGGAGGGAGTGAAGGGGAAGGGGGGAGGGGTGGTGGTGCTGGGCTCTCATCGCCGTTCGTGCGTGGCGACGCTGCAACCTCATTTGTTGTTGTCCCATCATCGTCGGCCTGCTCTTCACGTCGGCCGCTCTTCACATGTCGCCCCCTCTGCATGTGTCGTTGTCGTGGGCCGCTTTGGTGCTGTGGCAGTGGGCGGTGGTCGTTTTTTGTTGGCGGTCATTGTTTTTCATGGGCAGTGGTCATTTTTCGTGCGACGTGGCAGTGGGCGGAGGCCATTTTTCATGCGACATGGCAGTGGGTGGAGGCCATTTTCTGTGGGCGCTCGTCGTTTTGCATGAGTGCTCGTTCGTGTCTGTCGTGCGAGAGTCGTTGTCCGTCGTGGGCGCTTTGGGTCGTGGTCCGTTGTGGCTGTTGACGTATCGTGTTGTCGTCGTGCTCACGTGTTGTTGTTGTCACATATGTTGTTGTCCTCATGTGTTGTTGTTGTTGTTGTTGTATGTTGTTGTCCTCACGTGTTGTTGTTGTTGTTGTTGTCCTCAATGTGTTGTTGTTGTTGTCCTCATGTGTTGTTGTTGTTGTCATCCTCAACATGTTGTTGTCATGTGTCGTTGACACGTCATCGTGTCATCATCCATGGGCGGTTGTTGGCATTGGTGGGGTGTGGTGTGCCTGTCGTGGTGAGAACGGAACAATGGGGTGGTGGGGCATACATACCCCTTGCCCATGATGTGGCAACGTCATGGGCGCCGTCCCTTGTTCTTGGCCCGTCGTTCCGCGTTGGCATGGGTGTTGTTAGCATGGGCATCATTGGCGGTGTTGAGATGGCAGTGAGGGGCGAATGGGTGGTGGTGGTGGAAGGGAAAAGGATGGTCACAGCAGTGTGACCATGCCACAAACAGAAGATGTGATGATGTGGCATGCCCTCAAGTAAGTCACGTGCAAGCTTCACCCTGCCAACTGAACAAAATGATTAACCCCTACTATGTAAATCATTAGCCTTGTAATTCTGTTTGTAAATTCATGTTGACCATGTTAATTTCATAGTCTTTTTTTGTAGTATTATAATTAATATCAATAAGTAATAAGTAATGGTGCACTGGAATCCAGTGGAGTCCAGTGGACTGGAGTGGACTGAACTGGACTTGAGACCAGTGGACTGGGCATTGTGCAAGCCAATTTGGCCTAGCAAGTGGGCCACTGGAATCCACTGGACTCCACTGGAATCCACATGGATTATGTGGGGGATGGTAAAGACCTCCCAGTCATAGGCAGGGGCAAGTTGTTGCGTGGGTTGCTTGGATCTGATGTATGTGCAGGAATGGGAGGCAGTGACGATGTGCTTGCCATCTTCTTAGACACCTTGAATTCACCTGTGATGTGTACACTGGATAGTGTGGTTGATGTCTGAGAAGGGGTTGCTGCTGAAAAATTCAGAGTGTGTATAGGGGAGGTGGGGGTATTGTTGAAACTGTTAAGTAATTCTGTGCTTCAGGGGGTGAGGGATGTTTTTGAATGAAAAGAAGCTGATTTTGATATGGCCTCCATGTGTGCTTTCTTGTGAGAACCTGACGTGAGCTCCTGTGATGCTGACTTGTTTGTTATAGTCCATTTTTTCAGTGATGATGAACGGGATGCTGAGCATGAGGTGGGAGGTGTCAATTTTGAGGAGCCCACTTGAGTAAACAAGTATGATGGTCTTGTCATGGTGACTCCACTCAAGTTTCTCCTAGCAGGTGGAGCAGTGTTATTTAGTGTTTAAAGGTTCAGTTCAGTCCGGTTTTTTGCCCCGAAAACACGCAACCGTAGACCGGAACTGGTCCAGGACCGACCCAGATATTGAGGGAACCGAACCGAACCACCTAGGACCGGTCTTTTGCGGTCCATGATACCGGTTCAGACCGATCCAGACCGGTTTTTTTGCGTATAATTTATTATACCAATATAAACCATTTGTATCTCAACCATTATTACTCTGAAAAATAAACGGGTTATATAAAATAGTAAAGCATATAAATACCCATCATTCTACCAATTTTCAAGAGATTTAATGAAGATTTGACATAGCTATGACTGAAACCGAATTACATCTCATAGAGACTCGGGTAAAATATGGATTTGGTTATATCTTTCTTAATTCTTAACCGTTTTTGATGAAACAAAAACCCAATAAAAGGCAATAAACGTGGTTACAAGGCTATGTAACGCACGTGACCGTTTAACCGGTTGCAACCGATTAAAACCGGTCTTTGAATGGTTTTAAAATATTTTTGAAATGAGGCAACCGGCAACCGGACCAACGCCAAATTGGGGCAACTGCAACCGAAAAAAAGACCGGACCATGGTCCGGTTCAGTTCGGTCCACCGGTTTTTTGCGGTCCTATGGACTGAACCTTTAAACACTAGTGTTATTCAGATTGGCTGGTGTTGCGTCTGTGATGATCGAGTTAGCCAGGGCTAGTGCTTGGAAGTCCAGTCTCAAGACTGCAAAAAGACTGCAACTGGACCGGACCAAGACTGCAAAAGACCGGACCTGCAGTCTTGGTCTTTTAGATTTGAGATCACAAGACCGCAAAAAAACCGGTTGACATGGACCGGTCTTGTCGGTTAAGACCGGTCTTTTGTACCTACATAATAACCCTTCAAAACGCACCTAAGATCATATTTTTAGGACAAAAACTGACAAAGATACATACAAAACTGTAAAATATTTCGTGAAAATAGCAGATGTACCTTAGCATTTTTGTATATACATCAATTTTCGACGTAATTTAATGTTCTTGCACTCGTTTAGAAGCTACGAAGAATGTTAATAAATTTACCAACTCATAATTGCAATATCTATTGCATATTTCGTTGAAAGACCGGTCTTGAACTGGTTGTAACCAGTTTGGACCAAGACTGGTCCAAAGACTGAAAAAGACTGCAGTCTTGGTCTTTTCTGGTCCTGGTCTGGTCTTTTGAGGTTTTAGGAATTGTGTGGACCAGTCTTGGTCTTGGTCTTTTTGTTTTGGGCCAAAAAACTGGACTGGACCGGACTTTCAAGCACTAGCCAGGGCGTGTTGAGTTCCCACAGTGTCCATCTTTGTAGCAGGTGTTCTGTGAGTTACAGTAGAGATATCTAACAACACACTATCCTAGTGAACATCCAGTGAGCTAAACACTTGGTACACTGGTGTGAAGACCCTTTCTTGTAAGAGAAACAGTCGGTGGGCGTATCCTAGAAGAGGTTTGCTAAGCTTCGGAAATCCAAAGCAGTAACCTCTCCAGCTTTCCAGGAAATCCTCAGAAAGTAGGATATCAGATGCTAGTTGAGTAAACGAGTACTCAATGCCTAATACAAAGCTGACACTTACTATGCAGTAGAAGTGTTAGGAAGGGACTCTGAACCTAACCACTTACTTTCTGTGGTTTAGAAGAACGGTAAAACATCTCTTCTGGAGAGCAAAATGCAGTGGTGGTTGAAGTAAAGAATCGATGATATTTGGTGTGTAAACAATGTGTACAAGATATCAACCACATGTGATTGAACGTGTGACTAAATGTGACATTGATAATACTGAACATGTAGAGAGGTCAATCAGTGGAAAGTATATAGAAGTAATGAGAGATGCAGGAGTTGAATCCTATGTTACACTACATTTATTCGTTTTCTGTGACATACAGGGGATGACAACTACTGCATATATTATATGGTATGAGATATCTACATACATCTACAACACACAAGGGTTGGTGTCTGTGCACACCCAAATCACCTTGTTGCATCCGCTGCGTGAGCTCATCAGCATGCCATGCAATGGTCCACATCAACACAAACAAAACTAAGTAGAAGGGGTGGTATCAGATTTGAAACAAGGGGAGGGGGCCATACAGAATCAATACACAGTTCTACCTAACACCCCCATCACCTGCACTCTACCCATTGGCCAATAAAGGCCTGGCATCATGCAATGTGTCGGGTTTTCAGTGCATGTTAGCATGATGTGTCAGTTGTGTACCGCCATTTGGTTGGTTGCATGTTGTGTTGCATTTGGGCGTGTTGCCGTCACGTCTCTTGCGTCACGTCCCTCATATCTGGGCATTTTCGCTCTATGTGTTGGTTGCATACAGTCAATGTCAGTCATTTGGTTGGTTGCATGTCATATCGCGTCGTGTTTGGGCATGTTGCCGTCATGTCTCTTGGGCATGTTGCCGTCATGTCTCTTGGGCATTTTCGTGTCCATACGCATCAACGAGGCTGAGGGGAGTGTCAACGAGGCTGAGGGGAGTATCAACAAGGAAGGCTGGGCAGGAAGGGTCAGGACCAAAAAGATTTCAAAAGCTCAGAGCTGTCACTGTTTGGCAACTGTTGCAATGCTTTGGCTTATTTGGACATCACCACGTCAATCACGGTGACGGCTGACGTGACTTGGACGTGACACTGACAGGGAAGTTCCTGAAGATCTATGCTGAAGGTACAGCTGTGGACAAGGGGGTGGCAGAACGTGGATCCCAGATATAGGGTTGGGGGGGGGGCATCCATCAGAGGCCTTAAATTTTTTTGTGACCTTCTCTAATAAAATCCATTCAAATGGTTTGCAACACTACCAGAGCACCCTTGGAGCTTGATTTGGTAAGTTGCACACATATTTGGTCAGTAATTTTCGATACCTTGCATACGTCCTGATGTGTGTGGTGTTTACAGACATTTCCTGGGCATGACACCCTGAAGGCGATGGAGTTGACATCGGGCGCATAGGTGGTTGGAATGGTGCAAGGCAAGTCGATGAGTTTGATGAGTGTGGAGAACCCAGAAGGTCATCACTGCCATTGGTAAACAACGTTCAGAGGTGACAGCTGCCAATAACCGATGGTTCCTTCTGAGAAAAACATAGGAGGGTGGGAAGAACATACCGTATTTGGGGGGTGAAGGGAGGGGGGGTTGAGCACTAGGGCCTTAATTCTTCTTGCGACTGTATATGTAAATTCCACGTTCCGCCACCCCCTTGGCCATGGACAAGCAAAGCTCACTAATTTGGTATCTTGGTAAATAATGTATCTAGAGCTGAGATTTTTCCAGATTCTGGCTTGGATCTGCAAAATGCGTCGAAAAATGCACCTCCGAAGTTTTTCCCACAAGGAATTGGCATGGCCAAAATTTTGGACCAAAAAACTGCAACATTTACAGCGCTTTCACAATGTAATGAGAATCACGTTTTTTTTTTTGTGTTTCCATATATGGAATTTAGAGAACCTTGTCAATTTATTTGTCTCGTCTTCACTATGGGCAACCGGAAAATCAGCGCGGACCTCAAAGAATGTGCACTACGACTCTGGGAGCTTGGCTACGACCTAGGCTTTATCTCGGAAAGTCTATGTATCTCTAAGGCAAGCATTTACCAGTGGCGCAGCATCTTTGCGGAATTTAGCTCTGTCAACCGGCCACCCTCTCCACTGCTTGGAAGGCCGAGAATCATTGTTCGCACTGTGCTCACTGCTATCAAGGAAGTCTACCACAATGAAGTGGATGCATACCTTGATGAACTCGTCTGGTGGCTTGCCATTCACCACGATATCGTGATCTCACGCAGCGCGCTTCACAAGAACCTTCTAGATGCAGGTCTTACTTGAAAACTGCTCCACAAGATTGCAAAGGAACGTGATGAAGAGATGAGAGCTGAGTACATGGATGTGATTCGAGATTGCACAGGTGGGCGGGGTGCAGAACCGGTGTTCATCGACGAGTTCAGCATAAATGACCATGATACTGCACGACGCTACGGACGGGCACCATCTGGACAATGTGCAGACTTCATCAACAACTTCGTGCGTGGTGATCGGTATTCCACAGTGGTGGCGATTAGCATCAGTGGCTATGATGCAGTATGCTCCATCCTGGGATCATTTGACAGCGACCAGTTTCGTGATTTCATCGTTGAGCAGGTGGTGCGTCAAAATTCACACTCTTTCTCCATTTAGTGAATGTTGGATAGCTCCCAGGAATGAATGCCTGGCCTGGAGAACGGAGTATCTTGATCATGGACAATTGCCGGATCCACCATAATCCCGAGTTGGTTGATCTCATCAATGCGGCAGGTGTGATTCTCTCCCATGATCTCCCATGATCTTTCCTCACTTTACTGAGGATAGGCAGGTTGTCTTTTGATATACCTTCCTCCTTATTCACCTGATCTGAACCCCATTGAAGAGTCCTTCAGCACTTGTACGTCCTTTGTGAGCACTTAGATATGTTCAGCCCTGACTTCATTCAGTGAAAGCATTCGTGCGTCGCCATGGTTTTCAAATCAGGGCGAATGATCACCCCGAAATGGCTTTGATGGAGGCTTGTGGATGCATTACAGCTGAGATGGCACAGAGTTGGTTTAGGCATGCGGGGTACATCTGGAATGTGTGATTGCAATTGAAATTGGTATTGATGTACATACAACATGAGAACGAGTGTCGAAAAACTGGTCTAAAATGCAACAGACTACAGTACAATTGATGGTCCAAAAGAAAAGAGGTCATTTGAAGAGGACTCGATCAAATCTCACCGGTGATGGAATCCCATTTTCTGGACTTCACGTCAGAGATAAATGTCTTGTGTTTGGCAAGGAAATCTTCCCAGGCAAGCTTTGCGAAGCCTGCATGCCCCTGCCAATCCTCACGATCCAACTTCTCCACACGTCGATCCCCCGGCTGCACCTTCAGTTTTGCCAATCGAGCCTGATCCTCATTGTCGACTGCATAGTGAATGCAGAATTCCTCCAGAGAGATCGGGCGTGGAAGGATCACTTTCAGTGGTGAGCCAGGGGCAGATCCAGGAGCAGCGTCATGTAGAATGCCTGGAGTTCGGGGCCTAACACCTTGGGCGTATGCATGGTTCAATTTTGGGGCATGTGTGGGGTTCAAGGGCACGTTCAGGAAAGGAGCGGGGGCCGGGTGTGGAGCATCAGGGTATTGGTTGGGATATACGTTGTTGGCAGGATGGGGATTATAAAGGGGAAGCATGGGGTAAGGATACGGTGGCGGAAAATAGTGCGGATGTGGATAGCCGCCGTAAGGTTGAAATTGTTGGTTGAGAGCCGGTTGAGGGACAGCGGTGGGAGGTACTGCTGTGTCAACGGAATTAGATGCAATAGTGGCCACAGTGGTGATTCAGAGCCTTTGCAACTGTGCAAAGTGGGTGCTGTTGGGTGGTTCGGTCAACGATGCAGTTCCCTTGTCCTAGACAGGAATGGTAGGTCAGAAAATTGAATGATAAAGAATATATATGCGCACCAAGTGACTGGCCCAAACTTGCAGTCTGAGGCCGTTCAACTCCCAGATGTCAGATCCCGAAGAATAAACACGTTTATCTGGGAAACGTGGATCGGACCCAATGGGGTACTTCAAGCGAAGTTTTTCAAGGAACGCGCTGGTTCCCTCACAAACTACCTGCTGCAGAAATGTATCATTAGTCAGTAGTACGAGGTTTACGGAATGATACTCACCTGCTGCTCTCAGATCGTTGAGCCCAGTGGCCCTTCCCTGAATTCTTCCCTTTCCAGATCGACACCTCGAGTCCCAGCTGTAGTATCGCTCGGCTGACATCGAAACTGTAAGACATTTGTTGGAAAAAAGGATTGAACCTCACCATTGCCGCAACCTTCGAAAGAGGGGGAAGTGACAAGGTAATTGTTGTGTCCTTCCCTTTCTTCGTCAACTCCTCAAGCTTCGCTATCATGGCTTTGTAGCCCACCTCATTTGTGAGCAGCTTCTTCTTGTCGTTTGCCGGTACCTGCTGCTTCCAAAAGAGTTGTTCCTGGTTGATTGATGTGATTGTTGGTGCGTACGAGCCTTCAACAGAACAAGATGTGAGGGACTGTAGGAATTCGATGCGTGGGGTGCTGAGAGTGAAGAAAAAAGGTCCTCGCGATAATGGCTCTGGCTTGTCCTTGAGAGTGCGCGGTGGGCGATTGATTTTGATGTATGCGGTGATATTGGTGAGAGTCTTCGTCTTCTTGGCAGGGCACTCGTTCTCTTTTTTGGTTGACTGTTTGTCGTCATCGTCATCGCTTGAGTGAGTCGATGAGTCGTCGGCAGGTTCCTCCACATGACTGGAGGAGGGAAGGGGGGTGCTGTTCGTCGTCTTCGAGGCTGCTTTGGAGGCTTTCTTCTTGTCCTTCTTCTCCTTTTGTTTTCGCTTCTTCTGCATGAGCTCTGGAGTGGCCGTGAACCATTTCGCCACTGGAGAATTGCTTCGGTTGCGTGAGTGTTGAGTGAGCAAATGTGACAACTTACAGTGCGGATTATCTACGGCAATCTGCCGGATATCTTCTTCGATGCCCTGTATCTCGTCGTTGACGCTGCCGTCCATGGCAACAGTCGTGGTAATGGCAGTGAGAAGAGATTTGACCATATTACTAATTTAGGCAAATACAAAAAAAAAAAAACGTGATTCTCATTACATTGTGAAAGCGCTGTAAGGAGAAAACAGGTCAAAACCAGCCAGAAATTATCAAAAGTACCTGTGCTGGGCTTTGGCTGGAAGCTACTCAGAAAGGGCAAAGAATCTATCAGAAAGGCATTTCGAAAGCCTAGTGTGATGGAATTTCTTGGTCCCATGATAGATGTCACATCAAAGGTGACTAAGTGCCCAATTTGGGTCAATGTTTGGCAATTTTTTCCAGAAGAACTACTTGATAAATTGTTTCGAAACTTGATGGGCAGATTGTTCTCTGTGAAAGGAAGCGATTCCACTATTTTTCATATTTTTCATGGCACTTTTTGGTGTACCGGCCAAAAATTTAAGGTCTATTTCTGTATATGGCCATTTTCTCCAAAACAGCTTGTGAGACTTAGCTGAAATTTGGCCAGAAGCTTCCCTCAACGTATCTGCACGTTTTCCGGGCACTTTGGTAGCCATCAATACATTTCCATTTTTATTACAGTTGCGGACAACTAAAGTCAACAAATTGAGTATCTCAGGAACCAGATTTTTTGACGAAAAGCTGATGACAGATCTGAAACTGGACAGGCAAAAGGAGCTCAAAAATGATGTTTTTATGTTATTCCCACGAGTTTTTGGCTATGCCAAAATTTTGAGCCATTTTTTTGCATCCTACATCACCATCTCAGCCAGGCTCTCAGAAAAATCCTGCTCATCAAGCTCATCCCAATTACTCTCTGCATATCCATCTCTTCTCCTGAATCCACAGCTTCACTTGCCTCATTTTTCTTGTGCAATGAGGTGTGACTCTTGAGATCTCGTGATCAGTTCCTCATCATCTCCCTCACTGACAGTCTGATGGCTTGAGAAAATGATGTCACTGATGGAATGGAAGTCAAGAAAGGGTTATTTTGGAGGCATGCAAGGTTGCAATGTTTTTTACTCCAGGTTTGGGCAGCGTAATAGCAATTTTTTTCAAAGGGGAGGATCTATTTTATTTTTATTTTTTCGGTGGATTCTGACAGTACTCATCAAGATCTATCCAAAAATGACTTTTTCGAGATTTTATCGATTTTTTTGGGCCTGCGCCAAAAATTTGGACCTTTTTTCTGACAAATCTTCACTTTTGGGATATCGGCTCGTACCATTTGAAAGATCTACTCAATTCCTGCCTATTCCGATGGTTTTCGGACTTTAAAAAAATCCCTACCGGTCTCAATAAATCGATCTATAAATTTGTTGACTTTAGTTGTCCGCAACTGTAGTGGGCTTTGCTTGTCCACGACTGTACGTCATTCTTTGTGACGGCTGTATTATCATCACAATCAGTGATCGGAAGAAAATACGGCCAAACCGTGCTACAGCTATTTGACAGCTATCGAGGTATCGATAGACCATATTTCAAAACGCTCCGCTCAGTGATTTTATTTACTTGTGGAGCCTCAGGGTATGTGCAAACAACCAAACTAGGATTTTATGACTATATACGCAACAAGCGGGAAGGGGCGGGAAGGCAATGCCCGCCAATTGGCTGTGGGAAGTTGTTTGGCCAGCTCCAAAACTAAACAAAATCACTAAGCAGAGTGTCGTGGAAACTAGTCTATCGATACCTCGATAGCTGTAATTCTCGGAATAAAAAACGAACATATTGACTGTATAGACTAACGTTCAATTGAAATGGACAGTAGCGGGTCATGCGGCTTGCCACGCTGCGTTATTGAGATCAGAGAACCCTAAGCGAAGTACTTGGCCGGAGATCAAAAGATGAAGGAGAGCGAGACGCCCTATTCTCACGTGCAGGACATTCAAAATCCAAGATCTATAACTGATTTTCAACCCGTGGATCCTATGGAGTCGCTCGGCGTCTGGTTGAAGGACGAGGGATGCACAGTTTGCTGACTTTTGTATATCTTGTACAAATGGTTTTGAAAATGAGCAGGCAACGATGCCTAGTTCGGATGCGCTGGCGACGAATCCCCCTTGTAAACCCCACGCCCACCTCAGCCCGATGAGTAATATAGCAACAACGATAAAATATACATGATATGAGCTGGGGTGTGGTTTGTACAAAGTAGTAACAACCAAGATGATACGTATTGAGATGGGCCTACATAGCACTGCAAACATCCCAAGATACTGACATAAGAATATTTTGAGAGTATAACAAGTAGTGCTAGGACATGAAACGGACGGAACAGGTCATGTCGTTCAAACAAAAAGATGTTAAAGAGAGGAGAGACAAGTACAGTCCATGACTTCGATAAATAAATAAATTCCCACTGATCAAAACCCGAATCACGATCTCTTCTTTTTGGACGCTGCAAAAACCACACGATCAGCCTGACATCATCCACTAAGGCAATCAACCTCCTGACCTTTCGTATCACCCTCATCAACAGCAGGCGCAGAGCGCTTGTTCGCAACTCCACCAACAGCAGGCTTCCTCCCCGATTTCCCCTTCGCCGGCTTCTCCTGTTTCCAAGCTCCCACAGGTGCCCCAGGGTCGTCTTCACAGTCCGGGCAAAACCATTCCCCATCTGGGACCGCCGAAAGAGGGGGAGTGAGGCATGAGAGGTGCCAAGGGGAATCGCACTATAGGTTGATATGAAAGGGTGATGGATTAGCCAAGATGGTAGAAAGGCAGAACAAGAAGGGAGGTACGATAGAAGGGCGAGGAAAAGAAGTGAGAAGCAGGACAGACCTTATCGCATTCCAAGGGGGAGTCATCCTCTCCATTATCCTGCCCACATTTCACACAGAACAGTGGTGCATCGACGTCTTCAGGATGTCTTGGGAGGTCGTCGAATTTCTCGTTTGGCTTGGCAAGGAGGAGGGTTGTATTTTGGCCGGCTGCAATGCTGCCATTGAAAAGTTAGATTGGATGTTGCAGCAGAAGTGGAAGGGAAGTGGAGAGAAGAAATGGACAAGGACGGAGAAGGAGGAAAACTAGATGAAGACGTACTCAAATACGTCGATACCAACAAGCGGTATGTTTCTCGTCGGTTTCGTTGCGCTCTTGGGCTCGTCTTGTCCTAGGCCGAGTTCGCCTGTTGAAGTCAATATACATGTCGTAAACGATGCTTCACGTAAAACATACCATTGGCAGCATTTTGCCCCCAACAAACAGTCATAACACTCCCATCATCGTCAGGCGTGAGCAGCCAATGAGTCACGCCCCCAGAACGCGCAAGGAGGATCTTGCATCCCCTAAATGCTCATGTGAGCCATCATCAGCACTAGGACTTGGGAAGGAACAATAAAACGCGACTCCGAGGAGAACGACATACATGATATCCTGCATGAATCGGAAAGTAGAGTACGGTGACCCTGATGAACCTGCTCTTGCATAAGTCTTGGTTCCGCGAGATGTAGAGGTGGAATGAGAACATACCCTCACCGCTGTTCTTCCACTTCCCTGCCATCCAATACATCCCTTGTTTGTCAACGGCGACGCTGTTCGATGGGCCAGCGGCTATCGCTGACGCCATTGTAGCTTCGTTGGGACCTGCAAACTGTAACACGCACGTTGTAAGTGATGGAGAGTAAGAGAATGAGTATGTAAAGGTCGTGCATACCTGAGGCACAACCTTCGGTTTGAGCGCGTCTACTTGGTTCCCCAGACCGAGACGGCAGTAGCCATTATACCCCCAAACGTAGACGAGTCTGTTACACCGTTAATATAGACGCAGCTTGGCGAAGATTTGCAAAGACCCACCCGGTCGAGTCGAGGGCCAAAGTATGTTGCTGCCCAGAAGCGATCTGGACAATCTTCTTCCCGTCCAACTCTTTCAGGTAGACTAAAAGGATATGGTTGTTAGCACAAGGCAGCACCATTGACAAAAGCCAATCTGCACAAGAGAGGCAAAAGAAGGAAAGATAGGACAGGAATCCGATAGCCAAGCGACGAAAATGGGGGATAAAAAAAGGGGAAACGAACCAGGCTGGACCTCAATATCGTACCCGGTCTTGTTGCCGGTAATGATCCTCTCGCCCGTCGTTCCATTTCCCAGCTGGCCTTTCTCAGCGCTACCAAACGAAAACACTACCAGAACGCGTCAACGAAGCTTCTACGCGGCCGTACAGCCATACATACCTTTTCCGGATTCGGTGAGGACTATGGAGAATGTTATTCCAGCTGCAGCCTGTACGACGTGTTCCACGTTCCCCCCATGGGTCACTGGAACGCTCTTGAACGACGGCACTTCCGGACACACATTCTGTCCGCACTAGAATATCATTTCGGCTATCTCAGAACCCACAAAATCAAAAGGTATGAACACAACGCGTACCTGTCCGAGAGTGTTCGCCCCAGCCGCCCACACAGTCCCACAGCTCCCAACGAGCAACGTATGGTTCCTCCCACACGCTGCATGAACGAAGCGTACGCCTGGCGCTGCACCAAGATCTTGAGGTTTCACCTCCTTAGGCGCGTTCTCCGACACGTATTCCGTGGTAGACGCAGGCAGCCCGAGCGCGGAAGAGCCGTTCCGCCCAAAAAGCCATGCTGAGCCGGAAATATCGAGTACCACGAAATGACATCCGCTGCATGAGCCGTGGATTGAAGTGACTTTGACGTTGAGAAGAGAACGGAGGAGGTTAGGTTCGAGAAGGTCGGGGTTCCTAGTGAGGGAAGTGGTTTAGACTCCGTCTTTGCAACATCCACGCTGTCGCTTAAATATAACCTGACAAGACTTACTGAACCTCGGAAGGAGTAGCTTTGGCGGGGTTGCGATCTTTGCGGCCGAGTTTGGGCCTGTAGGTGGTGATGGTGGTGGTGGTGGTGAGAAGACAAGTCGCGGCGACGACGACGAAGAAACTCACCAGTCCGTTCCACCACATATCAGCACTAGATTCCAACAACGCTCAGTCTACTACAAGATAGCCTTAATGAGTGAAATGTATACGTGCCTCGTCCCCATTGCGGTTCTGTAGGTATTGATTGAGTCGTGCTCATTGCGTCCGACGTTGTGGAGGGTATAGTTGGGGTTGTTGAACAAAGCAAACTACCTGTATCAATACGTCCTCTCAGGCTCAGGTTACCCCAACAAAAAGAGCAATTTTAAACCATTCATCTTGTCGTGTGCCGTGCATAATGGGCCTCTACGAAAGGATCTATCTACATAACCCCTACTACTAGCTGAAGAGAAAGCCTCCAGACTTACTCGTCGGGCACAAGCAAAAGCTCTCGTTGAATTCCTCGTACGACTTTGAAGAGCAATGCCGGAAGACATCCAGCTTACATCAACGGGCTGTAATCCCCTTCGGATGCCGATCCCTTGGAATCACTCGGGGCGAAAACGTCCATCTCCGTGATTGCAAAGACCGCGATTTGACAGGGTACATCAGCTAGGTCCTGACTCCGTCAGGCAGAGCGCAGAAGTCACTAGCATTAGAGAACCTTCTTCAGGTTATTCGTTCAATGCAGTCACACTCGACTCGGAGTTGCATGACCCAATCAAAACTGTTGAACGAACCACACATGAGTTTACGGTCGCCAATAACACAAGATAATACTCACGAACGCTGGTCCCAGTCCGTTTGATAGAATACTGTCATGCATGATCAACAAGTTATCCAGGACAAAAAGAACGAAGCACACCTGAAACTTAGCCCCACTCAGCACGAGAACGTCCCCAGGGACAAGTGTGACCACAACATTCTCCGTGTCAGGCTTATCTGGTCCTTCATCTTCTTCAGCATCTGGGTCAAGTTGGGGTTGCATTGCAGGCTCAGATACCTCCGCGTCCCTCATCTCAACGTCTGCGGTATGGTTGTCCTGATAATCATTCTCGCCCTCATCCATGCGAATGAGTGAGTCGAGGTCAGAAAGGAGAGCAGACGCGGGCACTGGTGCTGGTGCTATTGGGGCGAAGCTCGATGTTGGCGCCATCATAGCAGACAGTGTTGAGGGGGCGACTGGATTTGGCCAGAATGAAAATGGGCCAATACTTTGGAACAAGGGAACGATGCTCGAAGTCGACGCCACTGGAGCTGGCCAAGGTTTGATATCCTCCTCATCGTCCTCCATCGTCAACAGCGAGTCCAGGTCTAGCATTTGCATCTCCTGCGTGACTGGTCCTATCACAGAAGAAGGATCCGGTAGAGCCGAAGGTTGTGGTACGGTTGGCAAATGTGGGTCCTGGTCCTTTGCCTTGCCCTCCCTCTCCTTCCCAGTCGTCTTCTTTCCCTCCTTGGACTTCTTGGATACCTTTGGCAACTTCGTCTTCTTTCGTACGACCTGAGGGGCCTTGCCCTTTGGAGACAAGGTCAAGACAACTTCGCACCCGAGACAAATCATTATGACGCTCTTATTCGTCGCAGCAGCGGTGTAAGTGCCCTACAAACCCAAAGGTGAGAGTCTGAACCACGAGAAAGGAGGATCATACACGTACCCTTTGACTTCCACTAGTAGCCCATGCCATCGCATCCAAATGATCGACCTCCAGCAAAGAACAATCCACTTCCGCATAAGCCAACGCCTTGCTGATCAGCAAATCCTTAGCTTGTACAAGACAAGGCAACGGTTGCTGCGTTGGACTCTTCACGCTCGACTTCTTGCCCTTTCCTTGCGTCGCCTTTGACTCTGGAGAATGCGCCATGGGGCACGAATACATGAAAATCGCATCTGGAAAACCCAAGTAAAGTCAGTCAACGCAATCAAGAAGGATAAACCAACGAACCGCCATCTTCCACCGTCCGACTCAACACAACGGAGGACTGTATATCCATAAACAGCTGGGTCGCAGCTACCTGTAACGATGGCATGTTACATGTGAACACATGCTTGATCACTGGTACCGCCGCCGCTGTCGGTAATTCCGATTTCAACTCCAACAAGTTCACGCCCTTCTGCAGCCCATCTAGGGTATACGTAAGTGTGCGCACGCCATCTGACCACGACGCAACACGCGCTTGCACGCCTTCTGGGAACGTATTGTAGGGCAGGGGCAGAGGTTGAGCATCGTGAGGATTTCGAATGATTGACAAGTCTAATGCGAATCCTGGTGGTAGGGCATTAACCTGTTAATAAACCACAATTAGAATTACTATCGGAATGGTTTGAGAAGGATATTGAACCTTGCACACAGAACTAGAAGACCTGCGATGCCGGAACATGGCCTGGAAATTCAGCTTCCCACACTGAACACAGTACCAACCGCTAGGCACGATACGAGTACCAAACGCCGCCACGAAGTGGGATGAGATCTGTGAATAATAAATGTCGCCCAGGCGATCCCATATGCTGTGGGACGTTTTCTCCACTTGATAGCGCGATTGCCAATCATCATTCGGATACTAAGGGACCAGGTGGGCATCTTGTTGGGCGATATCTCCAATTGTTGCATCTGAGTCGTTGTCGCGTTTAGTGTGAGCTCTGAGTGGTGTGTGGTTTGGGCTGGGGCTTCAGGGGCCTTTGTAGGCTCGGAATCCCACCAAGGTCGTGAATAGTCGATGTGATTGTCTGTGGGCGCAACCAACCATTCTTCGCCACCAGACACCCATTCCAGCTTGAAGGACCACTCTACTCTCCCGGCTGACATTCCAGACGCAAGGGACTTCGGTTGACTTGCCTCGATTGGTACTTCCTGCGAATCGCGTCAAACGAAACCTTTGATAGACACAGAAGAAGCATACCTTCACACCTAACACTTTGAAGTATCCCAGAAACGCAAACACAAACTCTTCTGCAAGAGAAACATTCGGCCAAATGTCGAGGACGCGAGAGCGGGCTGCGATGACGGTGACTGGAACGCTGTGAATGTAAGCGTCGACGAGAATTTGGAGTTCCTCAGGTAAAGATGACGGAACTCGTCCAGCGCTTTGCTGGGGTTGCTTCTGCAGAGTTGATACAACAGGCCGTTCAGCAGCAAGATCGGGGAAAGTTGGTGGGTGGTCACTAATAGGGAGGGATATAGCTTGTCGTTGATGGTCTTCTACGACATTATCCAGCATCAGCGAATTCGGAGGACGTTCGAGAGGAGCCATTGCGACTGAGGATGGGGTAAAAGGCGAATAAAGGGTGGTACCGCTCAAAGAAGGACCTGGAGATGAATTGGACCCAGAATTAGTCTTAGGTAACAGAGGTCGACCGCTGATAAGACGATAGGTGCCAAAATCATTTCTAAACGGTTCTGGCGTCTGCGAGGAATCAACACTGTCATCGTCGTAGAAAACGGTGACCTTGGCTTTGGGAATAAAGATGGGTGAAAGAGGGCCGCCTTTCGATTCCGGAAATGAATCTAGTGAAACGACGGGGGTGCAGTTTCTACAACCCAAATGATTGTAGTTTCTTGCGCAAGAAGAACATAATGTAAGGTCAACGTCTTTCAACAAGGGCGCCACATCTTTCGAAGGCCGAGTTGCGGACGCAAGTGATGGAAGAGTTCTTGTTCCAAGGTCGGCATTGAGTGGTTTCGCCGCCAAAGGTCCCGCTCCGACCGAGACTTTAGTTGTGTTGGAAGCCGTGGAAGCTTTGGATGGAGGGTCTAGGACAGAGATTGCGCTCGAACCTCCTTCAATTTGCCCCATAGATGCCGCAAGCGTAGGTTGAGAGAGAGAAGTCGACTCCGCAGTGGCAACTTCTTGCAAGAGTTGTTCCGTTGCGCATACAAAGTCCCCGGTTCTGAAGCGAAGGGATCGGTCAAACATTCTTTCAACAAGATCTAACATACGTTGTCAACTCCAAAACACGGTTTTCCATCTCCAGCAGATACACCAAAACTCTTCCCGGCTTCCTCGAGCAAAATATATGGGTTCTGGGAACACATCCATGAGACTCCGTTCACGCATTTCGTTCCAGTCAGCTCAGGCATAACGGCGAAAAGTTCATCTCTGCTCTTTAAAAGGGAAATGACTCAGGAGAGAGGTCAACGTGAGGCTTGGAGATAACTTACGCTTGACCAGATTCTAGGTGTGAATTTTGGCGCAACAGTACCTGTCGGCCCGGACACCTTGGTTTGTACGTCCGTGGAAGTAAATTTCGCCTGTTTGACCTTGGGTTTGAGCATAGGTACTAGTTTCCACGTCGGTGGGTTCGGCGTAGGAACGGGAAGAGCTGTAAAGTAATGATCCATAACGGAGCATCATCCTGTAATTTTTGGGAGGACATACCTTTCGGCTTGGGTGCAGTTTCGTTCTCTTTTGCTTTCTTAGCCCGCTTTTGTCTTGGAAGCTTAACTGTCGTCGTTGATTTGGCTGCATCTTTTTCTTTCTTTGGTCGGCCTTTCTTGACTATTACAACTTCATCGTCAAGTTGGGATGGTGGGAGGAAAGTAAAAAGTACACACCACTGCTTACAGAAGCTTCTTGTGTAGGCTCAGTAGTTCCAGAAAGCCCCTCTTGAGTAGGTTCACCACTTGCGGCTTCCTTCGCCTTCCTCCGACGTGGCTTCTCTGCAGCTGGAGCTGAATCATTACCTGCGATCGCGGTGGATGAAGAATCTAGTACATCAGAACTGCCCATAAAAAACGTCGTTAGGAGGTACTGAGGCTGATGCAAAAATATTTTCGGAGACAAAGGAAAGCCCTGTGGTAGCAGCAGCTGTATCAAGCTGAACCCCGCTTATGGATCAGGACGTAGTTGGTCCCTCCGCCCCCCGCTTCGTCTTAACAGTTTGAGCCCCGCCGTTAGGTGGTACGTGTAACGCGCCAACCGATATCGTCGTAACATCAGGAACTGGGGCTGGTGCGACTGCTTGGGCGTTCTCATGCACGAAATCAGGTCCCACGTTGCTTGTAGTAGCTGCATTCAACTTAAGCCGTTTCGCCTTGGGTTCGCCAGCAGCTGGTTCTTTCGCTTTCCGAGGGTGACGTGTCTTCTCGATGACTATGTTGACGTATCAGCCCTAGCTAAGTTTCGATAAGAAAACAAGACTTGCCTACACTCGATAATCCCTCAGCCGGTAGAGGTACTATTTGCGCCATGGACGATGTTGGTTCGCGTTGAAGAAAGAGGTGCTCTGCCGCGGAACAAGTCGCTTGCTGTTCGTCCATCTGCATCATAGGTTCCGCAAGCGCTCGACCCTTCCCCCTTTGCTCCTTCTTCGCAACTATACGGTACAATGGGTCGGTTAACCAATAAGATTCCAAGGAAAAGGAACACAAACAGGTGCTTTCTGTGGCCGTGCTTGGTTGTGGTTGAGCTGATACCAGTTGAAGCGGCTCTGGTTCCTTTTTACGTAAAGCATCTTCTCTTTACGAGGATGGTCTACGTCTATGACTAACTTCAGTCAGCCACAGACTCGAAGAATATACCGAGTTCACCTTACCTGGATTGTTTACATTTTGTGGAATGGTTATCTCCAAGTTTGTGTCATTCATTTGCCCTGGATCCGATTTTCCAATTTCTGATGTCTCGCCTTCACCTTGCCTGTGACTTCTCTTGATATTTTAGTTCAAAAGTCCAGATGTCGAGGATGCATACACACTGATCTGCGAGCTACTTGATCCAACATAGGCCTCCTCGTGAGAGGACATGATAACATCGCGCCCCCCGATATCGCCCAAGTTATGAGAATGTCTAGGTCTGAGTCTCGCAAGGGCTACGTCGTCCGCAGGAGCGCCCTTTTGTTTTCGAGGTCGTTTCTTGGCTATCACACATAGACGGGACCTCGTAAGTGCAAAATGAACGTGAAAATCAAGCATGACGTACGAGAATTTGCTGAGGGTGACACAGTATCAACAGAGGTCTGTGCATCATTCCGAAGCAATTCACTGCCCAAAACTTGCATTCTCTCCAACTCCACTGCGAGGCTGACGGAAGGCTGTGAGTCCAGATGGACTGCTTTGTCGGTATGTGGTGGATTACGAGGTTCGTTGGTTCTAGGAACTTCTCTGCTCGTTAAGCCGGACTAACTCTCGAAAACAACAAAGCATACCAATTCGTGACGGGCCCGATCTGCCGTGAACATCAACAGGCGATAGGGGTCTCCCCAAGTGCGCGTTATCCACCTGCCTAACTGCGGACCCAGAATTCAGCGACTTTCGAAGATTGGGCTTCACGTCGCCACCTGAATGAAAGTTTTCAGCGTAAAATAAACCAAGAACAAGAGCGGACATACCAGTTGAAGGCATACCTTGAGCATTCACAGCAGCCGAAATGAGCCCCTGCGAGTTCGAATCTACTGTTCCACCGACACAACGAGACGTTTGCGAAGGTAACTGATCACCAAAGTTTTTGTGTTTGTTGAACCGTAGCTTCGCCAAGACCTCTTTATGAGTAGGAACTTCATTCACTTTTCCGGGTTGGTTTGTCATTACTAACAGGACACTAGCATGAGCACGAACGAACAAAAAGTTGAAGTCGGAGCACGTGCCGCTCGTCGAGAGCACAGACACCCGTACTTCACCACCTAACAATACCACTTTCATATCCCGCGCCCCCGCTATCAACACTGGTTTCCGAGGGTTCCCATTGGCCGCACTACCACTAGCACGAGAGCGTAGCTGACCATCAGAGTTTTCATGTTTTCTAAACCGACGTTTCGCCATGACCTCTTTACGCATAGGCGTTCTTTCCAAGACCTGTTCGTCGTTCCTACTTATTGCAACACCACCATGAGCACGAACGAATGAAAATCAAAAGTCGAACCACCTACCGGCGCTCGTCGAAGGCACAGATGCCTGTACCTCACCACCAATGCCGGACGACAACACTACGTCCATATCTCGCGCCTCTGTGGATAAGGATAGGGCTGTTTTCGGATTTGACGCCCCACTGACACTGGCAGCGCGAGAGTTTTGTGTCTGTGTTGTGTCACCAACGGCGCTCGAATTTTGATTCTTTTGAATTGAGGTTTTGCCAAATGAACGATCTGACGCACAGGACGCCCTTGTGCTTTTTGATGTCTACTGTCCACCACTTATGACGCGCAACGCAGCCCCACCCATGATGAACCCAAACCCACTTTGAAAGTAATGAAAGTAAAAGGCGAACAGTACGCAGTGATAAGGAAGGCGATGAGGAACCGGCTTTTGCGGTGCAGGTAGAAGGAGTGTGGATTAAGTAAGTTAATTATGATGTAATATGCATCTCCTTTAAGAGCGGACTTCGTCCCCGCCCCCTGAGACATTGTAGGACATTGTTCTTTTCCATCATGCCTGCGCGCTCATACGCTCTAACTACCTCTCACCCTCTGGTTCCTCTGGCGTTCAACTATGTCTCTGAAAGGCCTGCAGCGATCGAACGTGTCTCCATGCCTCCAAGGACCCTCACTGTGTCGGGCGCGGCGTTCTCGACTCGTGCAGGCGCACAAGACTGTTTTGACAAAGGGGACAAATCCTTATTGCCCCTCAGTACATCCGGCGATATTACCGAATACCGGGTGATTACCCTCGATGAAAACGGTCTTGAATTTCAACATAAACTATCCCTTGGCGAGGTATGTCAGCCGAGTCATCACCCTTGCAATGTCGCCTAATACAGTTCACAGAGGAATAAGAAGTTGAAGGTAGACAATAAGTCGCTTATGCATCGGGTACAGGACCTTGAAAAGGCAAACCAGGATGCGGCCAGGGAGAAGGAGGATGCGGTCAGGGCAAACCAGGATGCGGACAGGGTCATCTTTCAATGGGAAATGGCTACAAAAGCATTACAAGGTCACTTTTTCCCTTATGCCCTTGATGGGCTGCTGACTCGCCCTCATAGCTTTTGGGCGGCTCCTTTCAGCGGACCCCAGTGCCATCTCTGAGGATACAAGGGCAGCAATGGTTCACCACTCCATTAAAGATGGTATGTTTGTATGCTCTCCCCTTTCACTCCCTTGCTTATTATATTACAGTGATAGACTTGCGATATTTGAGCCTACAACATAGGAATTATCAAAATGAGCGCAATCAGCAAACTCATGCCGCATCGATCGCATATGCTTCAATCCCCATCCACTACCGACAAATTCTTGAGAACCTTGTCCACGCTAAGGCTGCAATATCCGAAGATAGGGCAAGAATAGCTCACCCATCAGTGAGAAAGTCAGACGTTGCAGGTTTCTTGGCACCTTACATCGAACAACAAATAAATCCTGCAACAGAGTTGTTGAAAGCCATGCAAGATGTGAAGGTCATGCATCACCTGACGGGGGACTTGGTTCCTTTGTTTGTGGAGGGCTGAATATAGGCTGTTGCAAGTTGTTTTGGCAGTTACGGGGCAGTGTGTGTTTCTGACCATGGGAGTTATTGAGTACGTTAATCAGAAGATATTTGCCGCAGAACGGAGGATGCGGAAAAGGTGCAGGAAGGGGTTTGGAAAAGGGGGCGGTTTTGGCATAGGAATTGCTGAGGGATAGGAAGGCAAAGCTGACATGGTACTACGTCTGGTGTTATTGGGTGGTGCTCCATAAATGAACGACCGAAGTGTTCCCCTCAATCCCCCTTTCCGGTGCAGGCAACATTGCGGGCTTACTTGCCTGTGTGCTCATTACCACCATATTGTTATTCCCCTGTTCTACCCCGTCTTTACTAGAGATCGAACTGGACATTCCTCTACATTACTCAGCATAGTAGTTCACTCCTCCTTCATAAATGCTACTTGGGCATTCATGTCATTCCTTCCACATATACGTACTAAACCTAGTTTGTTTGAAGGTCCGTGCTGGTAAGTATTTTTTTGTTTATGTACTCGTGCGTACCAAAGTATCTATCCACATAATCCTTACTAGCTGCAGAGAAAGCCTCCAGAATAAATCGTCGGGTCCAAGCGAAAGCTCTAGTTCCTCGTACGACTTTCAGGAGCGATGCCAGAAAACATCCAACTCACATGAACGGGCTGTAATCCCCTTCGAATGTCGATCCCTTCGAGGCGAAAACGTCATGATCTCCCTGATTGCAAAGACCGTAATTGACGGGTATACATCAGCGAGGTCCTGACTCCATCAGGCAGAGCATAGAAGTCACTAGCATTAGAAAACCTTCTTCAGGTTATCCGTCGTAGCCGCACTCGAGTAGCATGTCCCAATCAAAACTGTTGAACGAAACACGCATGAGCTGATACCCGCCAGTAACACAAAATAATACTCACGAACGCTGGTCCCAGTCCGTTTGATAGAATACTGTCATGCATGATCAACAAGTTATCCAGGACAAGAAGAACCAAGCCCACCTGAAACTCAGCCCCACTCAGTACGAGAACGTCCCCATGGACAAGTGTGACCACAACGTTGTCCGTGTCAGGCTTATCCGGTCCTTCATCTTCTTCAACATCTGGGTCAAGTTGGGGTAGGGTTGTAGGCTCAGGTACTTCCGCGTCTCTCATCTCCACGTCTGCGGTATGGTTGTCCTGATGATGATCCTCGCCATCGTCCATGCGAATGAGAGAGTCGAGGTCAGGTAGGAGGGCAGACTCGGGCACTGGTGCTGGTGTTATTGAGGCAAAGCTCGATGTTGGTGCCATCATAGCAGACGGGGTTGAGGCGGCGACTGGATTTGGCCAGAATGAAAATGGGCCAATACTTTGGAACAAGGGAACGATGCTCGAAGTCGACGCCACTGGAGCTGGCCAAGGTTTGATATCCTCTTCATCATCCTCCATCGTCAACAGCGAGTCCAGGTCTAGCATTTGTATCCCCTGTGTGACTGGCCCTATCACCGAAGAAGAATCTGCTGGAGCCGAAGGTTGTGCATCGGTTGGCAGATGTGGGTCCTGGTCCTTTGCCTTTGCCTTTCCCCTCCTCTGCTTCCCAGTCGTCTTTCCCTCCTTCGACTTCTCGGTTACCTTTGGCAACTTCGTCTTCTTTCGAACGACCTGAGGAGCTTTACCCTTTGGAGACAACGTCAACACAACTTCACACCCGAGACATATCATCATGACAGTCTTCTTCGTCGCAGAAGCGGTGTAAATGCCCTACAAACCCAAAGGTGAGAGTCTGAACTGCGAGAAAGGAGGATCCTACACGTACCCTCTGACTTCCACTAGTAGCCCAAGCCATTACATCCAAATGATCGACCCCCAACAAAGAAGAATCCACTTCCGCGTAAGCCGACGCCTTGCTGATCAGCAAATCCTTAGCTTGTACCAAACAAGGCAATGGCTGCTGCTTTGGACTCTTCACGCACGACTTCTTCCCTTTTCCTTGCTTCGCCTTTGACTCTGGAGAAGGCGCCATGGGGCACGAATACATGAAAATCGCATCTGGAAAACCCAAGTAAAGTCAGTCAACGAAATCAAGAAGGATAAACCAACGAACTGCCATCTTCCACCGTCCGACTCAACACAACGGAGGACTGTATATCCATAAACAGCTGGGTCGCAGCTACCTGTAACGATGGCATGTTACATGTGAACACATGCTTGATCATTGGTACCGCAGCCCCCGCCGGTGATTCCGATTTCAACTCCAACTTCACGCGCTTCTGCAGCCCATCTAGGGTATACGTAAGTGTGCGCACGCCATCTGACCACGACGCAACACGCGCTTGCACGCCTTCTGGGAACGTATTGTATGGCAGGGGCAGAGGTTGGGCGTCGTGAAGATTTCGGATGACGGACAAGTCCAACGCAAACCCTGGTGGTAAAGCAGTGGCCTGTAAATCAACTACAGTTAGAATTACTGTTGAAATGATTTGAGAAGGATATCGAACCTTGCACACGGAACTAGAACACCTGCGATGCCGGAACATGGCCTGGAAGTTCAGCTTTCCACACTGAACACAGTACCAACCACTGGGCACGATATGGGTACAGCCAAACGCCGCCACGAAGTGGGATGAGATCTGTGAGTAATAAATGTCGCCCAGGCGATCCCATATACTGTAGGACATTTTCTCGACTTGATAGCGCGATTGCCAATCATCATTTGGATCTACCAAGGGATCACTGGGCGTCTCGTTGGGCGATAACTCCAACTGCTGCATCTGCGTAGTTGTCTCGTCTAGTGTGAGCTCTGGTTGGGGCGTGGATTGGGCTGGGGCTTCGGGTGCCTTTGTAGGCTCGGGATCCCACCAAGGTCGCGAATAGTCGATGTTATTGTCTGTGGGCGCAACCAACCATTCTTCGCCACCAGCTACCCATTCCAGCTTGAACGACCACTCTACTCTCCCGGCTGACATTCCAGACGCAAGGGACTTTGGTTGATTTGCCTTGATTGGTACTTCCTAAGAATCGTCCGATTTCGTCAAACGAAACCTTCGATAATCACAGAAGAAGGATACCTTAACACCTAACACTTTAAAGTACCCCAGAAACGCAAGGGCAAACTCTTCTGCAAGAGAAACATTCGGCCAAATGTCCAGGACGCAAGAGCGGGCTGCGATGACGGTGACCGGAAGACTGTGAATGTAAGCGTCGACGAGGGTTTGGAGTTCTTCAGGTAAAGATGACGGAACTCGCCCAGCGCTTTGTTGGGGTTGCTTCTCCGGAGTCGATACGGTAGGCCGCTCAGCAGGAAGATCGGGGGAGGTGGGTGGGTGGTCGCTAATAGGGAGGGATATAGCTTGTCGTTGATGGTCTTCTACGACATTATTCAGCATCAGCGGATTCGGAGGACGCTCGAGAGAAGCCATTGGGACTGAGGATGGTGTAGGAGGCGAACAAAGGGTGGTGCTACCCAAAGAAGGACCTGGGGGTGAATTGAGCCGAGAATCAGTCTCGGGGGACAGAGGTTGACCGCTGATAAGACGATAGGTGCCAAAGTCCTTTCCAAACGGTTCTGGCGTCTGCGAGGAATGAACACTCCCATCGTCGTAGAAGACAGTGACCTTGGCTTTGGGAATAAAGATGGGTGAAAGAGGTCCCCTTTTCGATTCCGGAATTGAATTGACAGGGATGCCGTTTTTACAATCCAAATGATTGTAGTTTCTTGCGCAAGAAGGGGATAATGCAAGATCAACGTCTTTCAAAAGGGGAGCAACATCTTTTGAAGGGTGAGTTGCGGGTGCAAGTGATGGAGGAATTGTTGTTCCAAGATCGGCATTGAATGAATTCGCACATTCCGCAGGAATGTCCGCTAAAGGTCCCGCTCCGACCAAAGAGTCTTTGGTTGTTTTTGAAGCCGTGGTAGCATTGGGTGCAGGGTCTAGGACAGAAATTGCTCTCGAACCCCCTTCAATCTGCCACATAGATTCCGCAAGCGTAGGTTGGGAGTGGGAAGTCGACTCCGTAGTGGCAACCTCTTGCAAAAGTTGTTCCGTTGCGCATACAAAGTCCCGAGTTCTAAAGCGAAGGGCTCAACCGACGTTCTTTCAACAAGATTTAACATACGTTGTCAACTCCAAAACACGCTTTCCATCTGCAGCAGACACACCAAAATACTTCCCGGCTTCCTCGAGCAAGATATATGGGTTCTGGGAACACAACCATGATACTCCGTTGACGCATTTCGTCCCAGTCAACTCGGGCATAACCGTCAAGAATTCTTCTTTGCTCTGTACGCGAAGGACTCAGGAGAGAGATCAACGTGAGACTTGAAGATAACTTACGCTTGACCAGATTCTAGGTGTGAATTTTGGCGCAGCAGTACCTGTCGGCTTGGGCTTCTTGGTTTGGCCGTCCGTGGCAGTAGGCTTCGCCTGTTTGACCTTGGGTTTGAGCACCGGTACTAGTTTCCAGGTCGGAGGGTTCGGCGTAGGGATAGGAAGCGCTGCAAAATAATGATGGTCCATAATGGAGCATCACCTGTAATTTTTGGGAGGACATACCTTTCGGCTTGGATGCAACTTCGTTCTCTTTTGCTTTCTTGGCCCGCTTTTGCCCTGGGGCCTTAACAGTCGTTGATTCGGCTGGATCTTTTTGTTTCTTCGGTCGGCCTCTCTTACCTACGAAACTTTCTCGTCAACTTGGGAATGGTGGGAGCCAAGCAAAAAAGCGCGCACCACTGCTCGCAGAAGCTTCTTGTGTAGACTCAGTAGTTCCTGAAAGCCCCTCTTGGGTCGTTGGAGGATCTCGTTTAGTTCGCTTGGCTTTAGGTTCACCACTTGCAGGTTCCTTCGCCTTCCTCCGACGTGGCTTCTCTCCAGCTTGAGCTGAATCATGACCTGCGATCGCGGTGGACGAAGAACATGGTAAATCAGCACTGCCCATAGAAACGTCGTTGGCAGGTGCTGATGCTGATGCAAGAGCATTTTCGTAGACGAAGTAAAGCCCTGTAGTAGCGGCGGTATCAAGTTGACCCCCGTTTATGGGTCCACCCGTAGGTGGTTCTTTCGCCTTTCCCTTTGTCTTAACACTCTTAGCTCCGCCATAAGGTGGTACTTGCAACGCGCCAACCGATGTCGTCGTGGCATCTTGAACTGGGGCTGGTACAATTGGTTGGTAGGTCTCATGCACGAAAGCAGATACCACGCTGCTTGTAGTAGCTGCACTCAACTTGACCCGTTTCGCCTTGGGCTCGCCAGCAGCTGGTTCTTTAGCTTTTCGAGGGTGACGTGTCTCTATGTTGACATATTAACCCTAGCTAAGTTTCGATAAGAAAGCAAGACCTACCAACGCTCGATGATCCCTCAGCAAGTGGGGGTATTATTGGTGCCATGGACGACGTTGGTTCGCGTTGAGGAAAGAAATTTTCTGCCGTGAAGCTAGTCGCTGGTTGTTCGTCCATCTGCACCATAGATTCCGCAGGCGCTCGATCCTTCCCCTTTCGCTCCTTCTTCGCAACTATACAGTGGTGGGTCGGTTAATCAATAAGATTACAAGGGGAAAGAACACAAACTGGTGCTTTGTGTGGCCGTGCTTGGTTCGAGTTGTGGTAGAGGTGATACCAGTTGAAGCGCCTCTGGTTCCTTTTGACGTAAAACACCACCTTCCACTACGGCAAGTACCAGATTGGGTTTGGCTCCCTTCAATTTGGCAGTACGCATCTTCTCTTTAGGAGGACGGTCTACGTCTATGACTAACTTCAGTCAGCCACAGGCTCGAAGGATTAACCGAGTTCCCTTTACCTGGAGTGTTTGCATTCTCAAAGTTGGGCATCTTCGAGTTTTTGTCATTTATTTGCCCTACATTAGAGTTTTGCCATTGCTGATGGCCCACTATCGCCTTGCCCGTGACTTCCCTTGATATATTAGCTCAAAAGTCTAGATGTCGAGGATACGTATACACACCGGTTTGCGAACCATGTGATCCAACATAGGTCTCCTCCTCAGTGGACATGATAACATCGCGTCCCCCGATATCGCCCAAGTTATGCGAATGTCTAGGTCTGAGTTTCGCAAGGGCGACGTCGTCCGGAGGAGCACCTTTTTGTTTTCGAGGTCGTTTCTTGGGGGCTATCACACATAGACACCTCGTAAGTGAAAAATGAACGTGAAAATCAGGCATGACGTACGAAAATCTGCTGAGAATGACACAGTATCAACAGAGGTCTGTGCATCATTCCGATGCAATCCACTGTCCAAAACTTGCATTCTCTCCAACTTCACTGCGCGGCTGACGAAAGGCTGTGAGTTCACATGTACTGCTTTATCGGTATGTGGTGGATTTCGAGGTTCGTTACTGCTAGAGACTTTTCTGCTTGTTAAGCCCAATCATCCCTCGAAAACAACATAGCATACCACTCTGTGACGGGTTTGATCTGCCGTGAACGTTAACAGGCGATAAGGGTCTCCCTAAGTGCGCTTTATCCATGTGCCCAACTACGGACTCAGGATTCTGCGACTTTAAGCTCAAGCTGCCACCTGAAGTTTTCAGCTCAAAAGTGAAATCAATCAAGAACAAGAACGAACATACCAATTGAAAGCGTAGGCGGGTCACGTTGAGCATTCACACAACCTAACATGGACCCACGCGAGTTCGAATCTACCGTTCCACCGACAGCACGAGAATTTTGCGAAGGTGGCTGGTCACCAGAGTTTTTGTGTTTATTGAACCGAAGCTTCGCCAGGACCTCTTTATGCGTAGGGACTTCATTCATTTTTCCGGGTTGGTTTGTCACTACTAACAGGACACTAGCATGAGCACGAACGAACAAAAAGGTAGATTCAATCCACGTACCGCTCGCCGAGGGCACAGACGTCCGTACTTCACCACCTAACGATACCACTTTCATATCCCGCGCCCCCGCTGTCAACACGGGTTTCCGAGGGTTCCCATTCGCCGCTCTACCACTATCACGAGAGTCTTGCGAGGGTTGCCGATCACCGTGTTTTCTAAACCGACGTTTCGCCATGACCTCTTCACGCATAGGAGTTCTTTCCGCTTCTTTAGACCGGTTCGTCGCTCCTACCGCAAGTTGGCAACACCATCATGAGCACGAACGAACTAAAATCAAAAGTTAAACCACCTACCGGCCCTCGTCGAAGCCACAGATGCCTGTCCCTCACCACCAATGCCGGACGACAACACCACGTCCATATCTCGCGCCTTCGTGGACAAGGACAGGGCTGCTTTCGAATTTGACGCTCCACTGACACTGACAGCGCGAGAGTTTTGTGCCAGTGTTGTGTCACCAACGGCCCTTGAATTCTGGCTTTTCTTGAACTGAGGTTTTGCCAAGTCAACGACCTGACACGCAGGAGGTCCTTGCGCTTTTTGAGGGCTACTGTTCACCACTTATTACGCATAGAAATGAGCGAAACGAGCAATGACCAGAGTCGAACGAATTACTTACCGACACCCGACGAGGACACAGGCACCTGAGCATCACCACCAATTGCAAGCGACGGCACCCCATCCACCTCCATATCCCGCACCTCCACCGTGATGGGCGTCTCCGTGTTCGGATCTGCGGCCACACTGACAGCGCGAGAACTCTGCGCAAGAACCGGCGGGTCCACCGTTGTCGTCCCAACGGTGTCTGGCTTTTTGATTTTGTTGAATTGGAGTTTTGATAAGACGGCCTGACGCCTAAACGCCTCTTGCGCTCTGTGGGCTTTCTGATTCGCTAGGTATTACAAGTCAGCGTAAACGTTTGCAAATTGACCCCGAGAAACGTACCGGAATTCGTCGAGGACCCAGACGGCTGAGAACCACCACCACCACACGGCTTTGCCCCATCCCCATTCTCCGCCTTCTTTGTCCGGGCCATCCCAAGGGCCCTGAGAGTCACTTGGGTCTGGTCGGAGTAGGCACGCCTTGAGCGTCGAATACCACGAGAAGAGGCCAAATCAACGTAATAAGATGTCCCAGATAGGTGCCAGAAGACGGTTCGGTGAGAGCAGAAGTTGAAAGAACGCAGCGGGGAAGAGAGATGCGGGAGAATTAATATTCAATGGGTTTACATATTGATCTCACCACTGCCACCTGATATGGCTTTTGCTAACAGGGCAAGGACTTGAGCAATGCTTGTAGCCAGCCACTGGGGACACTGGACTCCAATATTTCATTGAATGGTATGATTATGATGGTAGGATGGGTTCTGACATGAACGTTCAGAACAGAAAAATGGTCATTAGACAAGCTGTGACCAGCACCGCACACATGTCCAAGTGCCAGTGAGCAAGCACCACACCTTTTGAATCTCATTAGATTCAAACAAAAGGCAATGACACAACAGAGGTGTTGTACTCTACAATAAGAACATCAACTGCAGGACTGCAAGAGTTTACTGGGTTGTAAAAAAAAACCCAAAAAATAGAGGCTTGGCAAAAACAATGCCTCTGATGCAGTAACTCGGGACAGCTCTCAGTCATGAATAGATATCAGCAGTCTTACATAGATAAAAATGTGTGCTGAAAATGTTCAAATGGAGGGCCTGCACCGCTTAGCTTCACGACAAAGTTTTGTTGAAAGTCTGTCGAGGCTGTCGAGCAATGATTATAGGCCTCCAAAGCATTCACAGACGTTGACCATAAACTGAATCCTATGTTTCTTCTTCATCTGAGTCCGTAGATGCAATGAAGCCGAGGTACGAGCCATCCAAAGCACCTATCCAAGTGTCAGATTAACGAAGTAAAACACACGCCATTATGAACTCACGACCAACGTTCCCAGCGGCATATTTACCGCGATACGCCGACACCACCGGGCTAGGCGTAGCAAGGTACCCAACGGTCGACGTTGATGATGCCTGTGTATTCGTCGAGCTTGACCCGGGAGGTATCGAGTAATGCACCACCCGCGAAGGTGTGGAGACGGGAGACACGGGGTACGTCACTGATGACATTGAGAAAGAGGCGGAGGCGAAGGGGGATGATGGGGCGAAGGAGAAGGGTTTCTGACATTGTGGACTTGACTGCATGAAGCAAAGAGTCAGCCGCTGCGAGGGTGAAAAAAATGTGGAAAGTAAACAAACGTACGTTCGGGGAGAGGACTTTGAAAGGACGTTGGGGCGTCGTCGTTGGAGACTTTGCATTCGACTTCGGCCGCGCTGGAGAGTTGACGGGTGGCATTGGCGGGGGAGGGTACTTCAGCGCATAGCCCGCCTCCGCGATATTGAACGTAAAAATCGTAACCGCCGTCACTTCTACGCACATATCACCAATCAGCAAAACTCGAGAAACACATAAAAGCACTCACCTAGCAAACACACCCACTGATACACCCACTCCGAAGACCACCTCTCAAACGTGTGGCTCGACCGTAACACACGTCGAATGGCAGCCGGCAGAGACGGCACCGGTAGCAAGTAAGACAGGATAAGAGCAGCTACGAGACAGACGGCGTTCAGCCGTATACGTTGGAGAGCCTCTGCTTTGTGGGGTTTGAAGTGGTTAGCTATGGCTGCGAGCGTTGAGGATATGAGAGATTGCGACGAGGGTTTCTTGGTGGGTAACGGTGGCATGCTTGAAGTCCTAGGAAATAGTGAGCTGGAGAACGGGCTTTTACACGCGTCAACGTCGCGGTCGTTTGCGGCAGTGCAATGGTCGTCGTTGAGAGAGAAAATGAGGTTGTGGCAAGGTTGAAAAGTCACGGGACCAGAACGTGAAATGTGTCGCAAGCCACTTGAAAGGGCACGTACCCTCGAGAAACGTTGCAAAAAGAAGGCACCTCTGGCAAGGGCTGGGAAGTCAGTCTCGGCTTTATCTACATAACCACCACGCCCAGTTCCCGGTCATCACTCGCTTTGGTTAGCAAACATTCAGACAAATTACACACCTGTTTCACCAAACATTCAGACAAATTACACACCTGTTTCACATCGTTCGTTACGAAGCCAACCTGAAAGACGAAAAACAAAAAGTTGATAGTGCTGGAGCGGCGCAACCACCCAGCTATCAGACTCAGAGTACATTGTGCTTACACCCCGGTCACCTATCAGGCGCCGACGCCCATTTGTCAATGATTGGACACGTACAGTATCATGCAGAGGTAAGGTGGCTCGCCAACCAAGCATGGCAATAAAAGATTAATCTATGTAGGAACTCCCAAATCACCGACTTCCTAAAAGATACAGGGGCATTCAGATTCTGTCAATCATTGGACACGTACAGTATCATGCAGAGGTAAGGTGCCTCGCCAACCGAGCATGGCAATGACAGACAGAGTCACAGAGGAACCCCCAAATCGCCAACTTCCTAAAAGATTCAGGGGCATTCAAATACACAGGAGAGAAGAACACACCCGAAAGAACTCCCGGATGTTTCTTGCGACCTCATGTCAAAGATTTGGGGTGACATTGTAATTTTCAAAGGTCAAGAAACACTTGTTCACGTGTATGTAGGTGTGCGACTCTGATTACATCCTGACCATGATTCCGTAACCCGTTTCTCCAGGATGTATGACCTCTCGATCTGTTGTGTTCTATGGAGGCACTTGTCGTGTCAAGAGTCAAGACCAAATCGTGGTACCACAGCACCGGTCTTTTTTTGAAGACTCCACCTTGACTCCACCGTCCCCAAACCTGTTATTAATTAAGGGCATAACTACGTTATTTTCTCATCGGTTTTGCTCAAAACTAGGACCCCGGTCAATAGCACAAACGGTTTGATCCCGAAAATGGGAGTTTTGTCCGGACGCCATTTGGGGGTTGTGCCCGGTCTATCCTCAGAATTTGTAAATTTGTCCGGGTTGGTGGATCTGGAGGTTTTTCGAGGGCTATCCGACCAACTCACTCAAATCCAGTTTCAAAGGAAGAAGCCGACGCGTGCAATTTGAGAACTCGGAGGGGGTCAGTGCTGACACGCTTCGATCAGAAGCTCTCAATATGTAAATGCCGTACAAGTGAATCTGGAAAGGATCCAAATGCTAAATCCCATTGGAGAGGAGCAGCGGCACGGGTACCTGGAACCTTTCGATACGTCACCCAAAGCTACTTGTTGCTCGATCGTTCCAAGAACGACGTCCCCAGATCTGATGATCTTTGCCATTGCTTGGGTATAAAAACTCTGCAACTTTACTTCAACTCCCCAGCGCTCCCATTATATCCCGTTATCGACCATCACCTGTACCAATGGCAGTTCCAACTGGCACCTATACCATCCAGGACGTAAACGGCAACTTTGCTACTTCGCCTCTCATACTTGGACAACCTATCCAATTCAATCCCCCAACCGGCGCCCAGAATCAAAATGTATGGCACCCTTATGTTTCAATAGATCTCATGTTTATCCGACCTTAGTGGCTCGTTGCGACTATAAATGGGGTCTCCACGATAAGAAGCGCCGCCCTTCCAGACTTTGCCTGGGTTGAGGAGCCGTCTCTGGCCGGCGCGACTGTCAGCGTGAATCAAGGAGCCGCTGTGGATGGGTATGTCACGAACTACTTCGTATAATATCCAATCCCTGAATTTTTTACTGCCAACGCTCTTTTCAGTAACCAAGGCGCCATTCGGACGGTCAATGATCCGCAAGCCAACAATGTATTGGCAGTGCCACTATTTATTACTATTCATACTAATTTCCGAACTTTCAGAGGGCTGTTCTCGTCAAACCTGGTGCTGCAGCTCAATTCACTTTCACCCAAGTTGTCTGAATTAAATAAAATCAAATTACTCGAGCAACACTCGAGTGTGCCGACTGTTTGGATTGTGAATCGGACAACATTGTATTTTCATTAAGTTCGGAGTCGAATGAAGCATTGATTTGACGATTTACAAATATTCAAAGAATCTGGGTTGGAAAAGACGCCGTCCTTGCACGGCGTCAGAACGGTGGCAACAACCGAAAGCGAGCACGTGATACATTTCCTCCTTCCATTCTCGCTCCTCTATCACCAACGTGCAGGCCATCTTGACGCCGTCGTTCCACGCGATCCCCTTATTCTTATGTGATACCTCTCTTAATAGACCTTCACGACAACCTTTACGACAACTTCACGACTTCCCACCTCTCGTTACCCACCCAAAACGTTCATTCATGGCAACTCGTCACGATATCAATGGTCCTTGTTCTTGCGGCAAATGTGGAGGCCAGTTGCAAGTCAAGGTTACCAAGGGTGGTAACTTCCCTGGGCACTATTATATTCACGTACGTATTCTCTAAATTATCCAGATCCGATTCTAACTTGTTCCGATAGTGTATTCCATGCGCCTACCACTTTATCTTTCCCAAAGCCGATGTCCCTCAATCGGTCTTTGTTTCCCCGCCTCATTTCGCCCAGGGTAGTCCTACTCAAATTTGAACCATCAAATGCTCACAGCCAGGATGCAAGTGCCGCGGTTGTACTCAATGCAAGTACGAGAGATGTAAACAACGTTGCATTGCCCGAAATGGCTGTGGTATCCGTGCCCACAGCTGTCTTTCAGGCAGCGGGGAAAGCTACCTGACCCCCCATAGCACCTCAGGCCTCCGAATGTCCCCTTGATCCAATCCTTCGCGCAGTCTCACTTGATCAAGCAAGTCAGGGCGCTCAAACTCCTGCTATCCCCTCCTCTTCGGCCCCGGCCCTTTTTGATGTTGAGGAGAAGCGGCAGTATGAAGCTGCTATCGCGGCGTCGCTACAGCACGCGGCCACCGATCTTTACCCTTTGACTATCGATGAGGATCAACAGCAGTATGCTGTAGCCATTGCCATGTCCCTCGGCTTGTGCGACCCACCTTTGTATCAAGCGTCTACTTCTACACAACCTCCCCCGCTCCCCGGTTCTATTTTCACTGCGGGTGCGGGTCCCTCACGAGCTATTCCTCCTATGAAATTGCATCCGCCAACCACCGTCCCCTACTGTCTACCCAACATCAAGCGGCACATGAACGAGGACTGAATGCGGTCAACGGAGGATAAAACGAAGAAGCCAATGCAGGTTAGGATCAACCTCGACAATTGCTTCTCCCTCGTATTTTGGCATGAGGTATGTCAGTGATAGTTCTTCCTTATCTAACTAGCATTCATAATATCTGTAGGACGGGAAGGAGCCGAAGGTTTGAGCGATCCACGAGGGACAGGCGTTCTCAAGGCTCGCCTTTCTACCGTCTTTGGCCGAGAGATACCGGTTTCAACTTACCGGGACCAGCTTCACAACTGGAGGGCCCTGACTCAAGGACAACGGGATGAGCTCAAAGCTGTTGGTTGTGTTCCGGCTGGCTTACGGTCCCTTGTTCCTGAATCAAAGAAGTAGCTTATTGTACGAACTTATTATGTATTCCCCTACCCTTTCCTAGTTTTGTATCATTACTTTCATTGTACTCGCATTTGTAGACCGATTGATATTGTAGCTCTACATATTTTACATCTATCTCCAGAGCCTCACTTGAGAAACCGGCTATGCTCAATGACAAGACTTCGGGTGGCACACTCAGCTCAGTTTGATCAAGTGGTTGGGGCAGCAAGATGTTGTTTTTGAGGTGGCGAACGAGGCTTGCATACTGAGATATATTGTTCAAGCTGATACTTCGAAGAACAATGTGTTCTTGCAACTTCACAAGGGCTTTAAGGACACGCACTGTAAGAAAAAACAAGGTAAAGAAGCGCGTTCATGCAGAAACGTGATCACGTTTTGCCAGATTTAGCTACAGTCATCCACCTACTAATGATACGCCGAAACTGAGAAATTGCATCCAACAATTTGAAGTACAACATTCAGCCATAAAAACTACATAAATATTTGAGATAAATTATATTCTATAACCCTACCAAATTTCAGAATGTTTGAACCACAGGTCAGGAAGAAAAGTTAAAATTATGGGTGTATCATTGGGTGGTGTGACTGTATTGCAGCAATTTCCAAAAACAGTCCGTTTTGAAAACTTCACAGCAGCACCAATACTGCTTCAATTGTTCCCAAATTTTGTACTACGGTAGATGTGAACTTGTAGTGCACGTTGCAATTTATTTCACAAAGATTGATGTGGTATTGAGTGAGATATTAGTTGGTCAAAAGTGTATCAAATGATGGTGGCGTATCATTGGTGGGTGGATGACTGTACTTGGTCATTAGGTCACGTGAACTCGGGATCGGCCGCCGTTCTTTGATGGCGTTCTGCACGGTGTTCTTTCCAATATACGGATGCCGTCCAAATATTAGTTTTGGAAAAGCACACGTGGCCCGCCAGATGGTATTCTGCTGCTTTCTCAGTTTCTGCAATTGCGCACGTCTCTATTCTTGCGACTCTGGCTAGACTCGCCAGCCAGTCATTCTGAGGTGTTTGTCATTTGTTGTGGCTTTGTTGTGGGGTCAAACATCAGGCGGACTGCGAAAAATAAGAACACCTCAGAACGACTAGGACAAACGAACAGAGTTTGGCAGGGACCCCTGCATGTGACGCTGACTTAGAGAAATTTCCGCAAACATTCACCCACCTCAAAACACCTGTCCGAAACATCACAAAAAAAAGTTTTTCTGGCTACACCTTTAGATAGATTATTTAATTCAAATAATGTGATTACAGTAGAATTGAAAAAGTAGATTTTTTTTGACACCTTGTGAGGATTGAGGACTGTGGCTATGACGATGTTAAATGTCTGACAACTCCAACAACTTTACTACTCTTTCTTCAACTGCAATGAGTATTACAGGTCACGCAAATACTTTTGATGAAGTAGACGTTGCCCAGGAGCATCTCAATTACTGGATGAAGGTAAGTATGTCATGTCTACAAGGCAGGCGCAGATGACACCCATCCATGAAGCAGAGATGGCGCTTCTCTAGACTGGCAATTCCCAACTCCCCTAATCTGAGTCCACCCCTTGAGAATCCAGCAGTGACCCCAGTTGAAGACGATGGCAAAGGCATTTGATAGTGAAATGGGCATTGGGTCTAGGTATGAGGAGGCCCCGGATGAGGATTAGGAGGTTGGTATCATGGTGGGAGTTGGTGGTATAGGTTTGCAGAGGGGTAATAAGGATAGTATACATGTGGTTGTTGAGGTGAATTGTAATTGCGAGGTGGGGTCAGATAGTAGCTTGGGCGATAGTAAATTGTCCAAGGATGCCCCAGCATGACACTTTGAGGGTATTGTGAGTAAGGATATGCATGCATGGGTGTTGATGGACCAGCAATCGGGGGTGACATCGTGGGTTGGACAGGTGTGGGAGCAACTGCGACACACATCACAACCTGAGGTGTGGGAGCAGCTGAGACACACATTCGCTTTGCCAGACTCTCACCATCTGCCTCATCCACCATTGACCACTTTGCTACCCTCTTCTGCTTCTGGTTTGGTATGGACTTGAATGGGAGGGTTTTGATTTCTGCCAAGAGCTCGTCACCATAAGTCCCAAACCATGCCCATCCACCAATCACACTTTCTAACCCAATCAAATTTTCAATAGGGCTTGCCATGGAGGCCAGCTTCTTGAGTGCGCCATCACTAAGGATTCCCGCAGGGCTGAAGATCGCATCGTCAAAGTCGCGGTTCCAAATTTTGGTATGCCATTCTGTGAGGCTCGACTTTGTTGTGGGATTAATGGCTTCATATGATGCAGCCGTTTTCCAAGAATTTGGCTGAGGTGGAGCTGGGTGCGTATGGTTCAGAAGCTCAGGGTTGCAAACATCACAGCAAGGGACTGTCGGGGCTTTTCAACAGTGCTATTAAGTAAGTTGGTCATTCAATATTAATGCAAAGGCTTACAGGCTTTCTCGTTTCCATAGATATTGGTCAATACACCTCAACAGCAATTTGTCGACTGAACAAAGCTGTACGCACCCTCGTCAATTGAGGATACATCCACAGGAACATCAACCCCCGTCGCAACCTCATCAAATAGGCCTCCATATGCGCCCCGACGGACGCCACATTTGATCACATATTCCTTGGTTTTGGCCTTAGGGTAGTTTGACGATTGCCGTATGGTTTTCTTTCCTTTTGTCTTCTGCTTGTCTTGACCGCCTTTGTCCAGGTCAGCATTGTAGATTGATTTTTCCACTAGCAAAACGGCAAGTCCAGTTTGGCCTGGCATGTGTGCTGCGCGGCCTGCTCGTTGGACAAAAGCCGAGACTGTGGCCGTCAACTTCAACTGGACAACAATATCTATGTCAGGTATGTTGCATCCCTTCCTATCACATTAGATTCTTATGCATTTAGTCATCAAAGAAAAAACCCACCATCCCAGCAGCATCAGTACAAACAAGAATCCGCATGATTCCCACCTTGAAAAGCCCCATCACCAAGTCATGACATTCCTTTGACAGACCCGCATTGTATGGCTGGATGAGGCCCATCCCTTGCAACTCGGTAGGTAGCAGTCCATCCAAATAATCCACCATGTCTAGGCCACCTGACACATTGTCTGCATAGATGAAACCTTTCGGGACTTCGTCTGCCCTTCGTCTGCCCTTTGGGATGAGGAACTCGAGGTCGCTATACATGTTCATAGGGGTTTGGATGGCGTGGACAGCAAGGGAGACATTTGGTCAGTCGTTTCCAAGATTTAAGTAAGTGAATTTCTTCAGATTGAACTGCAGTTTTGCCAGAACATCTTTGCTGACACACCCCGCAAGTGTTGCTGACACACCCCGCAAGTGTTGCTGACATCGCGACGACAGGTGTTCCTTTTGGAAGCAATGTGCGAAGTACTCCCAGCGTTCCATACTTCTTTCGGAAGCCTGATCCCCAGTGGGAAATGACGTGTGCCTCATCCACCACCACTGACAGGATGCAGTGAGACATCTCTGGTTTCCGAATAACATTGTTGATAAACTTCTTTGACAGGATCATCTTGGGGGAGAGAATCACAATTGCCCACCTCCCCGCTATGATATCCTTTATCAAGGTAAGGCCACACAGTCTCGTCACAAAGCCAGAAAACTTACCGCCATGATTTCCTTTGTACAACCACCTTGCACACTATTAACTGCAACAGCCTCCAGTTTAAATTCCTCACGGAATGTATTGACCTGCAGGTTTCAAAGGTGAGCTTTGGTGCACTGTCATGCATACAGTGGCGATCAAAAGTATTGCACAGCCACCACATGCACTTGTAAATCTAGCCTACTGATCGTAAAATGCACTCAATTAAGATAAGAAAACAACTACACTGCAGCCAGAAAGGTACAAAATAATGTGGTAGTCTCAATAATAGTAATTAGTGGTCCTGCCAATGTCAAAGCCATGAGAACGAATCAAAGCACTGTGCAATTCTTTTGCTCACAGGCTGTCAGACGTGAGATTAAGTGATTGTGGGAGAACCAAAGAAGCAATTTCTTACCGGCCTTCAGTACTTTGTAGCGCCACCCCGAGCCATCATTAATGCAGCAACGCGACGAGGCATACTCTCATAGAGAGTGTTGAGGGCCTTCCATGGAAAATTTGCCCATTCCTCCTGAAGTGCTACCCATAACTCCTCCTTGTTTGTCAGCAATGGGTTGTGAGCACGAACTAAGGCATCCAACTGATCCCAGACATGCTCAATGATATTCATATCTGGGCTAGATGGCGGCCATGGGTTGCAAGCACGAACTAAGGCATCCAACTGATCCCAGACATGCTCAATGATATTCATATCTGGGCTAGATGGCGGCCATGGGAGTTGCTTGACATTTTTTCATGCAAACCACTCCTGAGCCACCTTGGATCTGTGTTTGGGATCGTTGTCCTGCTGAAAAATCAACCCCTCCTTCCCTGTACGCCTTATTTTTAGGTCCTTAAGACTACTGAGAAATTGTTTATCAAGAATTTCCACATAGTCCGGGCCGCACATAATTCCGTCGATCCGATGAAGGTGTCCCATACCCTTAGCAGTAATCATCCCCCACACCATGAGGTTTCCCATGCCATGTTTAATAGTTTTCTTAATAAAGCGATCATCTAGGGCCTGTCCAGGTTGAAACCATGCATATTGGCAGCCATCTGATTTGAAAAGAAGGAATTTGGACTTGTCAGAAAATCCAACGTGCTTCCAATCCTCAACAGTCCAGCCTGCATGTGCCAAAGCCCAGAGGCGGCACTTCTCCCAATTGGTGGGAGAAATATATGGGCGAGACCTATGAACACAACAGACAAGTCCGTAAGCCCAGAGATTGCGTGAGAGTGTGTGGCGAGAGATGGCAGGGAAGGCTTTCTTAACAACCTCAGTAGCATTTGCAGCTTCACATTTCGCAAGCATCCAGGCTGCAACTTGGACATCACGGGCATCTAATTTACGTGGCCGGCCTGTCTTTGGATTAACATAGTAAGGATCAGCTGATTTTTCGAAGCATTTCAGTATACTGGTGACAGTTGTGCGATGAATACCAATTCTTTGGGCAATGTCATTGTTGTCCATGGAAAGCTTCTTGAGATCAACAATTCTGGTGACTTTTGTTGGGGAAGTATAGACCATGATTGCGAAAAGATGTCTGAGCTGTTTTTTCGGTCCATACTTTGCTAGATCTTTTATAATGAGGTACCATGTGTTTCTGAGACACCTGAGCAAAAGTATTGCACATGGTTTTCAGCAATAAAATGCATGTATTATGGCTAGATCTAATTCATATATGTGTAACTTGTTTCGATTATATGTATTACACTTTAATGTACCCCAAACACTCATTTTACTTGAGATTAAAGCATGAATCCAACCAAGAGATCGATGCGACTCGATCACGTGGTGGCTGTGCAATACTTTTGATCGCCACTGTAGAACCACGGACCTGTTCATCTTGTAATGCAATCAGAGGCGATATCATGAACGTAACCTTTCCTTTCATTTTCTCATGTGCATGAGGGCCTGCCACCACAGCCATTTTGCCCGAACCTGTCCCAGCATGTATCAAGACATCCTCGCGCTTCAATTGGGCCACAATCATGTCAACTTGAAAAGGGTGTGGTTTGTGATCCCAATTGAATTTTTCTTTCACCTTTTGAGCAATGTCCTTTAGGTCATTAGGCTTGAGTGCAGTCCAGACATTTGTAGCCAGTTGGTTTGGGAGCATGTTTGTACTCTTGGAATTGCGGGGAAGCATTGCACAATGAAGTTGAGGGATTTGGGGAGGATGAAAAATGCTAAGAAATGAATAAATTCCTTTTTGGATAGTCCTCAATCACGATCGCCGTGCCCTGTGCATTTGAAACAGGCGACACTCACATTCTTTCCAACTCACCCCATGCGCTGCTCACCTAGCTGGGAATGGTCTGATAATGACAGCCACTCTCTGATTCAAAAACTCGAATTATTTGGACCCAAAGAACTTCAGCAAGATGACTCTGATATTGCGTCTGGGGAATTAACTGTATCTGAACCAGGCTGGAGTGATGACTCGGACTCAGACTCACCAATGCCATTGGACCCAATTTCTTCAAGTGGTCCCATATGCTCAAGCCCCATTAATGAATCAGATCCTTATGAACATGCAGCACATTGAAGGAGGAAGGGATACAAAAAGCGGGCACACACTTTGGCAGGACAAAGGGAGGATAATGAAAAATGGCTGAGGAAAAACAAGCAGGAGATTTTAGATGGAATTCTGGTGACGTTGAACCAGCAGGGTTTGAACATTTGGGATTTTATGGAACATATCTTCCATCTGAAGAGCAGGAAAGGTAGTGTGCAGTGGCAACAATTCTTCTCCACCCAGGCGAATGTGACACAGCTCCTTGACTGGTGGACTTCCTCTAACAACAGCCATACTGCGCGGAAGTACATCAATCAGTGGATTCAAGGGCATGTGGCTGTGAGGTCTTTACGCTGCCACTGCTTTTCCGAGCGGACTCCGGTCGGACTCCGTCAGACTGAGGGTATGCAGAACAGATATTTTTCTGCTTTGCAACTGCAGTATTTTTCCGAGGATTTTCCGATGCTTTTCCGGCCATTTTTGGTCAGACCTTTCAGTCCAACAGACTTTTCCAGTGGACTACCAATGGACTGACAGCAAACCATCAGCTATAGTCCACTGGAAATGACCAAGTCCGATGGAATTCCAATGGACACAGCCAACGGAAGTCCAATGGAATTCCGATGGATGTGGCCAATGAAAGTCCAACGGAATGCAAGCAAGCAGGGCTTGTTACTAGTATTATTACTGAAAAAGAAAGTAAATAATAGACAAGTAAGTATCTACATAGTAAAGAATAGATGTCGTGGCTAGTAGTTATAATGATAACCGTGCTGTACAGTCCTGACCATTGGATTTTTGCATTTTGTTCAGTTTGCAGGGTGAGCATTCCCAAATATGTTTGAAAGTCACATGGCTCGTTGTGTGATGAATCCGTCACACCAACACAATTCTTCCCACCCTTCCTCTTCTTTCCCCCTCACCACCCTTCATCCCTCACCCTCTCAACATTGCGTAGGCGCATCTTTTTAGTATCGAATGACATTTGTGGGTCCTGCAGGTAAGTTTCCCCTCCGTAATCCATCTCGCCACCCACTGATGATGCCAACGGCAGGTTTAGAACCCTGTGGGGCCCATGGTGTGTCTCCCCCCGTCAATATCATCAATACTAACCATTCCAGCACCACCACATCCATGTACGGCACCCACACACCCTATCACTCCCATTCCCCACCCTGCCCACTAAACACGCCTGGCACATAACATTTCGCGCCCAACGCCCATCTGCATGCTCCCCAAATCGACCCGTTTCACAGACAGGGCCCAGCACCCATCTAACGTCCACGCACAGACAGCATCCATGTACCCATCCACTCCCCTTCCCTGCCCTTTTCGCAAACGGCACCCAGCACATCATGTCTCGCGCCCAGCGCCCATCAGCGTGCTCCCCAATTCAACCTGTTTCACGAACAGGGCCCAGGGCCCATCCAACCTCCACCCACAGACCCACCACATCCACGTACGGCTCCCACATACCCTTTTCTTCCACTCCCTTTGCCCAACGCCCATCCACAGGTGGCATCCACGCACTCTCCCCTCCCATTTCCCATTTTTTCAAACAATGGCGCTTAATGCCCATCCGTTTACAGCACCCTTCCACTCCCATTCCCAACCCTTTTCACCAACGGCACCCAGCACGTCCCATTTTGCGCCCTCCCCCTTCAATTTCCCATTTTTTCAAACAACGGCACCCAACGCCCATCCATTTACAGCACCCTTCCACTCCCATTCCCAACCCTTTTCACCAATGGCACCCAGCATGTCCCGTTTCGCACCCTCGCCCCCCCATCTCCATTTTTTTGCAACAATGGCGCCCAACGCCCATCCGTTGACAACCCATGCACCCTTCCACTCCCATTCCCTCCCTTTTCATTCAACAGCACCCAACACCACCCATTTTATGCCCTCCCCCTCCCATTTCCAATTTTCGCAACAACGGTGCCCAACACCCATCTGTTCACAGTACCCATGCACCCTTCCACTCCCATTCCCTCCCTTTTCATCAACAGTGCCCACCTGTCATTCCATGCCCAACACACTCTCGTTTCCCACCCTTTTCACCAACGGCGCCCATCGCCTGTTGTTCCGCGCCCAACAAATTCTCAAACTCACTCATTTTGGAAACAGCGCTCACAGCCCCTTCACCTTTCCACTCAAACTGCACTCTTAGTAGTCATAGCCCTGGCCCTCTTTCGTTACATCTAATAGTTACATGTGGTAGATAGATTCTTTTGTATGCATAGTTTAACATTGGCAACTTAGATGTTTTTTTTTTGCTCTTTGAACTTAAGGTTTCTGGTGAGAAAGGGCTTATGTAATGACAAGCTAACTTGACAAGTTGCTTGTTTCTTATCTCTTCCTTCATCCACCACCATCTAACAACATCTGAGCCAACTCCTTGTTTACTATGCCTCCCAGGACCTCCAAGAACTCTGCTACTGTTCCCACCTCGCCTCCTAAGTCCCCTCCTAAGTCTCGTAGGAGTGCCAGAAAGCGTGCTGCATCATCTGTTGATGCCTCTGTGGAACCAGCTGCCAAGAAGGTTGCCATGGACAGTGAAGTGGGTGAGACTGGAGGTGAGGGTGAGGATAATGAAGGTGGAGCTACAGGAAAGAAAGGGGACAAGGGAAACAAGTAAGAAAAATTCAATATCTCTGAATTTATTGCTGAAGTAGACCTCTCCATAGCAAAGCTGCTGGAAAGAAGGGAAAGAAGGGAATTACATATGTTTTTTTTTCTATCATAGCTTGGTCATTTGCTTACCAATTTTTGTAGGAAATCTAGTGCCAAACCTATAAAGGCTGCAGTTGAAAAGGCAGCCACAGGCCAATCTGCCCTGTAAGCATTTAATTCTTTTTTACTCAATGAGTTGTTTATCAATCTTTGTTAGGACTTCGAGGGCTAGTTCTGTAAAGGCTGCAGCTGAAAAGGCAGCTGCAGATCATCTTACTAAGTCAGTATATTTATTATGTTTAAATTTTGATCACCTATTAATTTGATGCAGAACTCAGAAAATTTTGCTTGATAGTGGAGCAGCTATAGCTCCACCTCCTAGGCCTGTCCAAGAGGCTACCACAGTGGTATCTTCCACCAATGAGTAAGAACATTTTATCAGATTATATTTTTTGAGATTTACCAATTTACTTTTTCAGGCTTCAGACTATCATTGAAAAGCAAGCACCAGCTGTGGTAAAGACTCCTCGTCAGCGTGTAACTGAAGTTCCAGAGGGAGAGATGTCTACCAAAGAGGGTATGACAGATGACGAGGTGAAGGACAAAGGAAAGGGAAGAGACATGGCGAATATTGGAGAAGTGAGTGGGAGTGGGAGTGAGAGTGGTGATCAGGATGAGCTAAAGGGTCAGGGTGATGGCGAAGATGAGGGTGAAGAAGATGGCGAAGATGAGGGTGAAGAAGATGGCGAAGATGAGGGTGAAGATGAGGGTGGTGAAGATGGTGAAGAGGAGGGTGAGGATGAGGGTGAAGAGGAGGGTGGAGATGATGATGAAGTTGAGGGGGAGAAGGACAAGGAGTCAGGTGATGATGTGGAAAAAGTTGAGGAGGATGCAGGCAAAGTCAAAGATGCAGGTGTTGATCAAGATGTTGAGATGGTGGACATCAACAAGGTTGGAACTGTGGCAGAGACAACTGTCTCTGTTGCAANCTGCTGTGATGG